GGCGTCGGCAGCGCTGGCTACATTGACCCCATTGGTGTTATGCGCTTCCACTTCAAGCGTGCGACTAACCTGCGCAACTTGGAGGCTATGGGCAAATCCGATCCCTACGCTCGCGTCCTGCTTTCCGGTGTGACTCGTGGCCGCACTGTCACCTTCCGCAACAACCTCAACCCCGAATGGGACGAGGTCGTCTACGTGCCTATTCGTAGCGCACGCGAGAAGCTGACCGTGGAGGTCATGGACGAGGAGACTATCAACAAGGACCGAACTCTTGGTTGGGCCGATATCAATGCCTCCGACTTTGTTCGCGAGTCGGAGAGCGGTGAATATCAGATCGACGACGAGAAGCAGGATATCACCAGCATTCTGAAGATTAGCGGCGGCTCTCCCAAGGGAGAACTCCACTACAATGTGTCCTTCTTCCCGTCTGTGCCGGTTGTCAACCCCGAGGATGAAGTTGATGAGGAGGAGGAATCCTCAGAGCTCCCTGGTACTCCTGGACCGGACTCCACCGAATTCCCGAAGAAGGCTTTGCACGCGAAGTCTGCTAGCGTCGACTCTAAGGCTTCGAAGGCCTCCAAGGCTCTGTCTAACGGCGCTGCACCCATCACTAATGGAACTACCAATGGTGAGCCGGCTACTAACGGCCGCGCCAGTCTGGAAACTACTACATCCCGCCCGATGACTGGTACCCAGTCTGAGACCGCGTCTGTTCGGTCGGTCAAGTCCATTCCCCGCACTTTCGTCAGTGCGGAGGATCTCCCGAAATACGGTACGTTTTGTTTCTATCTTCATGGCAATGGTACGAAGCTGATTAACTATAGAATCCGGTTTCATCGTGTTCAAGTTCCACGAGGGCCAGCTGGCCGTTCCCCATGTCCAGTTGGAAGTCTTGATGGACGATTACATGTTCCCCGCCTATGTCTCATCTAAGATCCACACCACGACTGCCAAGTTCACTGACGTTGGCGAGGCTTTCGTCCGCGAGCTCGAGTTCTCCAAGATCACATTGCGTCTAGTTAGCAAAGATGATCCCAAGGACTCCAGCGAGGAGCACACAGTCGCCAAGCTGACTGGTGACACCCTACCCACACTGATGCGCATGCTGTACACTCCCACCGAGCTCGTCCTCCGCTCCAACTCCGGTGAGGTGAGCAAGGTCACCGTCAGCGCCCGGTACATTCCGACGGAAATGAAGCTCGATCCCACGGAGAGCATCAACAACATGGGTACCCTGCGCGTTGACGTCCATGATGCCGCTGAGCTGCCCGCCGCTGACCGCAACGGATTCAGCGACCCATTCTGCAAGTTCCGCCTGGACGACGAGACCGTGTTCAAGACCAAGGTCCAGAAGAAGACCTTGCACCCGGCTTGGAATGAGTACTTCGAGACCCCCATCAAATCCCGTATCGGCGCAAACTTCCATGTGGACGTGTACGACTGGGACTTTGGTGACAAGGCTGACTTCCTCGGCGCCACGCCAATCGACCTGGAATCCCTGGAGCCCTTCCAAGCCAAGGAGGTCACCCTGCCCCTCGACGGCAAATCAGGTGCGATCCGCCTGAGCCTGCTTTTCAAACCTACCTATGTGATCCGTGCCCGCCAAGGCTCCTCCACCTTCTCCGGCACCTTCGCCGTCCCCGGCAAAATCGTTGGCGCCCCCGTTAAGGGTGTTGGCTTCGTCGGTGGCAACGTCGTCCGCGGCGCCTCCTTCCTAAAGCACGGCCTCATGTCGCGCATTCACAAAGACAAAGGCGAAGACGCCGTCTCCATCATGAACAGCATCGAGGAACCTGACAATGTCAAGGGCGACCGTCTCACGCCAGCCGCCTCTCTCGTTGAAGGCGCCTCTTCCCCCAGTACCCCGCAGAAGGAACATAGTCGCAATCGCAGCACAGCCTCGCAGTTCGGCGACCGCCTCAGCGTCTTCGGCGGTGGGGGCTCCGGTGACAAGGGCTCCGCCAACATCACCGTCGTCTCCGCTGCGAACTTCCCCACCGACGCCAATCTCCGCGTCATCATCCGTCTCCAGGGTTCCAAGGGCGCAAAGGATGTCCATAAGACGAAGGCTCACAAGAACTCCTCCGGCGCAGTCACGTTCGACGACTCCTTCCGTGTCCCCAACACTACCGCCGACGCCCAGTACCAGGTCCGCGTTGTTAACCACGCCACCTTTGGATCGGACGATGTCCTCGGCGAAGCGCCGTTCTTCGTTGATGATCAAGGTTCCGTCGCCGGCCAGGATAAGGCTATTACTGTTGGCGACGGTGTCGTTACCATTCGTTCCAGCTTTGCGCTTTCAGATGGTGGTTTGAGACCTACTACCTCGCACTCGACCGCCGGTACCCCCGAGCCCAATGAGGGTGGGGGTAGTCCTGATTCGAGGAAGGTGCCCCGTCGCAGCTTCTTGAGTAAGAGGTCTGTTAGCGGGGTTTAACTCACCCTTTTTACTTTTATTATGTGCTTCTGGAATTGCCTGTTTAGGCTGAAGAGTATATGAAAATATGATTGCTTCCCCTCGTTACTAATTGTGCTATTCTGTGTTTGTTGTGATATCCTTCTTTTCTCTTTTTTTCCACCTATCAATTGAATTCAATTGTTGAGATGGTTGCCGGACTTTTTGAGACATATACCACATAGCATGGAGAATGAGGGTAAAAATAGTCGGGAATCAATAGTTGGCGCCACCCAAAAAAGCTGAGAACAGGGCTGAGACCAATGTCTCACTTTGGAATCTTAAAGGGGGTCCCGACGAGGCTACTGAGTCGGATTTTATATGGTATTCTCATCACATTCTGATGGCTTCTTTCTATTAAAATAAAATAGGTCTCGGGCCCTTGTCTTCGACCCGAGTCTATTTTCCGGGAAGTTGGTCTGCACAGCCCGGAGTGATCTGCAATTGGATGTTTAGGCCTCTTAGAGTTTTCAGGGTACGCGCGTATGTTGTGTGTATGCAGAGATGGGATAGGAATACGGAGTAATAGGAAATACAAGAGATGTCTGATAATCACAAGTATGTATTCACAAATTGTATATTATTTTTAGATCCCTCATCCCTCTATCGGTACTCCGTACTCCGTACGGAGGACTATATTAGCCTCATTTATTTTTGGGAAAGGCATGGTGGAGACGACAATTTCTATTGCTTGTTCCACTTGCGCAAGTTGTTGCCAAGTGTTGCCACTTGGACCGGAAGTTGGTTGAGGGAAATACAACTGCAGTTAGTCTAGAAGAACTAGCTAGTTACGTGTTTGTGGTGATAATAGGAAAGAGAAAATTCTACCTGCATGTTCTTTCCAACGGACCTACATGTTGCTAGCTCCTCAAGTCGTACATTTTAGTAAATGGTACTACAGACTGAGCTATATTGCATATTGTGTACAATATAGAGATCAGGTGAACACCTACGCATCTATTCTAAACGTCTAATAGCACGACATTGATATAATTAGGAACAAATCTTGGAAGCATTGAAACTGAAACCGAAACAAGGCCAAAAGGAGGATCAGAGCTTGTATTTTGGTGGGGCTTTAATCCTATTTACACTAGCTCTTGTAAGGTGGAGAGGGAAAAGGGGTCTGGATTGTTGGACTCCGTGGGCTTCTGGGCTTAGGGGTCTAAGGGTGTTGATGTCTAATGGTTAAGATGATAATCCCGCAACTACTCTTATCTATTACTAGGCTTAATAGTAATGTATATGTAGGGTGTTAGTTCCCGAGCTCCAGCCCGTGGGTATGTCAGTGGCAACTGACGACATCGGGATGCAAGGAGATAAGAGAACAGGAATAGGAAGAGCAATGCCATACAAAGTATAGCCAAATTAGCAGAGAATGGACATAATTGGCATCTTTACCCTTATTATATTACTATAACTAACTAGACCGCCTAAATATATACGTAAACACCTAAATGGCTAACATAACTAACGTGCAACACAAATAATATAAAATCACGGGGTTTCTCTCCCCCACTCTATCGATCGTCCCTTTTTCCTTTCCCTTTCTCTTTCTCTTATAACTGGACTTGTTTCTCCTTTCCCCTCTATCACTGTGCTTTGGAATTGACTCGTGAGTTGTCCTATTTGTCCTACCCGATGACGGCAGCTTGACATGCCAACAAGTGGCAACCCCCTCCTTTCTGTCTTTGGGTCTGGAGAGCTTAAGAGCTTCTTAAATGGAGCCACGTTTCCCTTTTTTTTTGAACCTGTTCACTGACTTCATATCCCTCTAAAATAGCCAGTTCCTTTCGAATCCATATCCTTATCCCCATAACCCATAACTCATAATGGCCTCCAAGGCGCTTCCCACTCACCTTCGAGCCCCTATCGACAGCGAGGGCTTTGGTGGAAAGCACCATGGCAAGACGCAATCGCACATGGTACGTTCGCTGCAGGCGGTGAATCCCTGAATCTCTGAATCCCCACACCTCTGGAGCTTCGTTCTTGCCATTTTAGCTGTTCCTGCTGTTTTGGGTTGTTTTTTTGCTGCGCCTTTCCTGGACGCGTCCAGACGAGACAACTTGTTCCTCTTTTCTCCCCTGTTTCACCATCGCTACACTGTTACCCCTGCTCTATCCTTCGAATCACCCAATTTCCTTGTATTTTGGGAAGCCCCTCAATTGTCTCTTTCTTTTACCTTACCATGGCTACCTTGGCTCCCCCATTTGGTCCAGAGCTGACCCGTGAAACCTCCAACCAGGCATTCGAGAATGCCTCCACTAGCGTCGCCGCCTCGCAAATGCGCAATGCCCTGAACGCCCTCGGCGACACCGTCACCGACCCCAACTTGAAGAAGCGTTTCGAGGCCGAGATGGACAACTTTTTCGCCCTGTTCCGCCGTTTCCTTAACGACAAGGCCAAGGGCAACGCCGTCAACTGGGATAAGATCGCCCCTCCCCAGCCTTCCCAGGTTATTGGCTACGACGACCTTGGTGCCGACGCCTCCGTCGAGTTCCTCAACAAGCTGGCCGTTGTCAAGCTGAACGGTGGTCTCGGAACCTCCATGGGTTGCGTTGGTCCCAAGTCCGTCATTGAGGTCCGTGAGGGCATGTCCTTCCTCGATCTCTCCGTGCGCCAGATTGAGCACCTCAACCGTAGCTTCAACGTCAACGTACCTTTCGTCCTCATGAACTCCTTCAACACCGATCAGGACACCCAGTCCATTATCAAGAAGTACGAGGGCCACAACGTCGACATCATCACCTTCAACCAGTCGCGTTACCCTCGCATCATCAAGGACTCGCTCCTGCCCGCCCCCAAGAGCTTCGACTCTCCCCTCCAGGACTGGTACCCCCCCGGACACGGTGACGTCTTCGAGTCCCTGTACAACTCCGGCACTCTGGACAAGTTGATTGAGCGTGGTATCGAGTACATCTTCCTGTCCAATGCCGACAACCTCGGTGCCGTGGTCGATCTCCGCATCCTGCAGCACATGGTCGACTCCCAGGCCGAGTATATCATGGAGTTGACTGACAAGACCAAGGCTGACGTCAAGGGTGGTACCATTATTGACTCCGACGGCAAGGTGCGCCTGCTCGAGATTGCCCAGGTCCCCAAGGAGCACGTCAACGAGTTCAAGTCCATCAAGAAGTTCAAGTACTTCAACACCAACAACATCTGGCTGAACGTCCAGGCTATCAAGCGTGTCGTTGAGGAGAACGAGTTGGAGATGGAGATCATCCCTAACGAAAAGTCCATTCCCGCCGATAAGAAGGGTGAGGCCGACCAGGCTATCTATCAGCTGGAGACCGCCGTGGGTGCGGCAATCCGCCACTTCAGGAACGCCCACGGTGTCAACGTGCCCCGTCGCCGCTTCTTGCCCGTCAAGACCTGCTCCGATCTCATGGTTGTCAAGTCTGACCTGTACCGTCTCGAGCACGGCCAGCTTGTCATGGACCCCAACCGCTTCGGTGGTGTCCCCGTCATCAAGCTCGGTAGCGACTTCAAGAAGGTCTCCGACTTCCAGAAGCGCATTGCCAGTATTCCTCGCATCGTCGAGCTGGACCACCTCACTGTTACCGGACCTGTTAACCTCGGCCGCAACGTCACCCTCAAGGGAACCGTTATCATTGTCGCCTCCGAGGGCAGCACCATTGACATTCCCCCTGGATCCGTGCTTGAGAACTGTGTTGTGCAGGGTAGCCTGAGAATCCTCGAGCACTAGATGTTTTCGTCTGAATCTGCTGCTTGGCTTGCAGATCCGCAATGTCTGATTTTTCTCGTTTTAACTGTGCATGCGAGGCTATGGATTCCATGGAGTATGCAAAAGAAGTACTTGTATTACATTACAATAATCCAGCGTCTTTTTTCTTTCTTTCTTATTGGGTTGTTTTTAGTCTAAACCTGACTTTCATTCCCAAGTACTGTGTTGCTCAAGACCATTCTCAATGCATTGCCAGTCCAAGGTCGTTTCCAAATGTAGGTACATACATGTAAATATCTACATATGTAGTAGTGTAGCTGTAGGCGTGTAGTTATGTCTCCGCTCTTCCGCAGCCACCAACTCGGTATATAACCCCAGTAGTACACCAGAACTCCATTCAGCCTCCACATCACGAAATCCAAGACTCAAATTTGAGCAAATCCCAAACATAAATCCGCCATTGCCTTCGGGCGAATAGACTCCCATGATAATAGGCGGGGAAAAGTTCCCCATGATATCTTGACAACGTCATTCGCGGCAAAACAAGCCTATTTGCCCTACTAAACCCTGTCCAAGTAGAGATCTCAATCGTCCTACAATCATTCGAGAAGAACACCGTACAACATGCATTCCTGATCTTGTACAGTTTCAAATTCGTGTTTTCCTTTCTTGTATATTCCGAATAGTACATATTCGACTGTATATCTCACGCCTTTTTACATATTCTTTTTTTACATATGTTCCTTCACATATTTGGACGACCCTTGTTTATATATTTGCATTTTACATTTTAAAAACGAAAAGGCAAAACCCGAAAGAAAACCGAAATCCACCTGCTCATGTCGGAATATGAGTCGGAATAACCGTCGTCTTGTACCAGGTCCCTCACCTTCAGATGACCATGACCAGGAAAACTACCATGACCATGACACTGAAAATGGTAGTCCACCCGCTGATGAAGTGAAGGGTTCTGGTACGTGGAAGAAGAGGGTTTCGACTGCTTGTCTGGCTTGTAAGAAGTCGAAGAGGAAGGTAAGATTTCATTATATACCACACTACACTACATCCATTCTACACCTGTATCTCCATCTACATCTACATACCATAACCCAAACTGACGAGCCCAGTGCTCCGGCACATCCCCCTGCGCAAACTGCCAAACCTTCAAAAGAGTCTGCATCTTCGACGAATCCCTCGACCAACGCCGCCGCGTCGCCGCAAAACGAACAGCAGACGAACTCTCCTACCACCGCGACCTCCTTTCGGACCTCTTCAAGCTCGTCCGCGAAGCAAACGAATCAGACGCCCTCCATCTCCTAACAATAATCCGCCACAATGCCCCCGCAGACGAAATCCGCGCCTACATAAACCAAACACTCGCATCCCTCGCCTCCAAACCCACATCCACAGCGCACAAGGAGGAAACTGTCGCGAAGCTCGAAGATATGCGTCACCTTATCAATGTCGAGGGTACAGGTCCGACTTTCAGAAGGAAGGTTATGGATATCCATTTCCTGTGCGACTCGGCGCCTTGTGAGGTGCCTGCGAAGCCGTGGACGAGGGTTACTGCCGATGCGGATCTGGTGTCGCATCTTGTTTCGTTGTATTTTGCGTGGGATTGGCCGTTTGCCGCGGTTTTGGATAAGGGGGTTTTTCTTAGGCATATGGCGAAGGGTGTCTTGGGGTCGGAGTTTTGTAGCCCGTTTTTGGTTAATGCGGTGCTCAGTAATGCTTGTGTGGGTATTTCTCTTTTTCCTTTTCGTTCGATTGAAGTGAAGTTTGAACCTGGGTTTGATTTGGTCGTGAGCTGTGTTCGTCTTGGTTCAGTCTGCTGATTGGTTTGTTTAGTATTTCTCTGAGTTCTCCGAGGCTTATGTTGTTCCTGGTGATATCTCTTCGAAAGGATGTGATTTCCTTGCCGAGGCGGAGAGGTTGAGGGATGAGGAGGGCTCGCAGCCTAGTTTGGCTGGTTTGCAGGGGACGTTGTTGATGTATGAGAGGTTGGTATAGACATCTTTGTCCTCTGTCCCGCTGATTGCGGCTGTTCTGACACAGACAGATATGCAATGTCCCGTGAAGACGACCTGGGATATATCATGCTGCACCAGGCTATCCGAATGGGCGAGGCATTGGGTCTGGTCGGCAGCACAGGACCCAGAATGGCCTCGGGCGAGTTATCCCAGGACATGGATATCTCATGCAAGCGCACAGCCTGGGGTCTATTCAACGTCGACACGTAAGTGAGCCATACTAGCACCCAGCCCTCGAACTCACATTCACATCCGCAGAATGGTCCATACATCCTTCCTCCGTCCGAGTCTCATCGAACACGTCAATATGGCCCGTCTCGATGTGAACCCGTCCGAAGACCAAGCGCTATGGGAGCCATACCCAACCCACCGCAATCCGCGCCCGTCATTCTTCAGTCAGTACTTCGACGAGGTATGCAATCTGTCGACGATTGCGCGAGATATCTCGCGCAGCATGTTCGCAGACCACAGGACCAACACTGCTCTCGGTCCCATCCCTCGTCAGAGTCGCGAAGATCTATATGACCGTATCCGTCGCTGGCACGATCTTCTCCCGGAGAACTTTGATCTGCGATACAAACCTGCTCCGCATATCATCTTACTGAAGTGAGTAGCATGTCCACAATAACCCCTCTTTCCTACCGTCTTCCATCCAAAAGCGGAATACTCATCCACACAGGATGCGCTACCACGCCCTCATCATCAATCTTTTCAGCTGCATCTCCGAAGACGAAGTCCCACCCATACCCTTCGAGCCCAAAACACCAGAAAGCCCGCCGCGCCACACCCCCGAGAGAAAATACAACGCGCGGGAAGTCACGCAGAGCGCGGCGCGCGGGATCGCAGCCCTAACGCGTTTGCACAGACGCGAGTTCGGGGTGAGTCGCGCGCACCAGTTCGCGATGTATGCGATCAACCTGGCGTTGTTTACGATGCTCGAGCAGGAGTCGTTCGATGTCCTGGATGAGGATTTCCTTACTCTTTCGAGTGCGTTCTCTGTTGTTGCGAGTCGGTCTGCGCTGGGGAGGAATCTGTTTCATATTTTCCGACAGTCGGTCAGGGCGAAGGCGCAGGGGTATCGGATTCGCGAGGCGAGTTCTGTGCCTGATGAGTTGAAAGATTTGTTTGATGAGGCTTCGAAGGAGAGGGGGTGTAGTCGGTTTGATGACTATGCTGATGGACTTGAGAAGCTGAATCAGAAGGATAAGTATCATGGAATTGGGGGGGGGGGATGGTAAAGGGTTGCAGGATTATCCCGGACTTGGACTTTCGGATATGTTGGATCGGTATGAGAGTCTTAGTCTTGGGAAGGATGATGTTTTGGTTGAGAGGTATCGACCTGTTGGATGTTGATGGGAAATGATGGAGACATTATACAATGTACTGTCGTTGTCATCTTCGTCATCTTCGTCATGTGTCTCCAGGTACATTTTGCCTTAACGGAGTGGCGACACGATTGTATGGATCTGGTCCAGAGATATAGATCGCCCAGACGAGTTCAGGGCGATGCATAAGGTGACACGAGGAGAATCCTGCGGAATGAGCTAGTTACTGACAAGTCACAGTGAATTAGGGTGATATTCCCCAGGTGACTGGTAGTCCATAGGTGGTTGATAGGTGGTTGATAAGAGTTGACTGGGATTGAGATGTTGTCTGACGTCAAAATCCGGCAGTTCACCCGCCAAGTGGCGATGGGAATATCTTCTCCACGTTAGTCCTTCAAGACATTTCACCACTGGAATCAAATCTCCCAATCCCTGTTTCCTTGTTTTCTGTCTAAATTGCTTTCGCCATGGACTGGTTGCGCCTTTTTCACCTTGTAACCTCCCCTCCAACCCCAGTAATATATATTTATGTCGATAATATCGATAAACTCGACTAATTTGATACATTCGGTAAATTCAAAATATGGATAATCCTGAGAATCAAGATGACGCGACTTTCGAGAACTACGACTGGATGTCATTCAGTACTGGTTCTGTACCTCAACATCCCTATCCCACGCCTATCCCCTTTCCAACAATTCAGGCCCCCGCCCAACCCTTCTCACAGCATATACCTGCCCAGCCAGCATCTGCAGGGAGTAGCGCGCCAAAGGTAGCCATCCCTCGCCTAGCCGGCGCTGACCCCTTTATACATGGGCGCCGACGGTCCGCGCGGGCCTGCGAGCCATGTCGCCAGCGCAAGATCAAATGTGATGGTATCCGGCCATCGTGCGGACAATGCGCATATCACAATCACAGCTGCTCCTATGAGGATGTCAAACGAGTGCGCGACCAGAAACGACTGGGCTCCCTGATCAAGCGAGTGGATACATACGAAACCCTTCTTCGAGAACTAGAAGCCGAGGTGGACTTGCCCACTGCTCGAAAGATCAAAAAGGCATTGAAGGTAAGTCTAGTCAATGTCAAATGAAGTCCGGGTCTCACGCGAGACTCGGATCTTACGATTTGAGTCCCGTGTATAAGACTCTGACTGCCATTTGGCAAATTAAGTCCAAAAGTGCGAAAACCCATAGAAACAATATCGACTCCGATGATTCCTCTACCTCGATGGGCTCACTCGATGCTATCGACCAGGTTGACGAAGACCTAAATCGGAACGAGGACACCCGTGCTGCGGGCTTCTTTGGGAAGAATTCAGAGATCAATTGGATTCGCAAGCTCGAGAGCGGCGTGAGTATGAGTCCGCAGGAACAGGTGCCGAATCCTTTCCACACGGAGAGTCACCGTGATCCAGCGTCTATTCAGCAGCAGCAGCAGTCATTGGAAAGGCAAATCCCCACTTCTATGATGGATTACCATCTTGATAGCCTTGATATTCCATTGATTGAACCATGCGATCCGTTGGCTGTGCCCCCACGGGAATTGGCAGACCGATACTTGGACTCCTACCTGATCAACGTCCATCCGACATTCAGCGCAATCCGGAAGATGACCTATATCTCCCAGTATCAGAAGTTCTTCAACAATGCATCGACACCACACCGGAAATGGCTGGCCATTCTGAACATGATTTTTGCTATTGGTTGTCGCTATTGTCGACTCGTAGATGACCCTCAAAGCATCGGCGAGGAAGATTTGCTATATCTAACCCGGGCACGCCACCTGGGTCTGCACAGCAATGTGCTATTCGAGCACACCGATCTCCAACAGATCCAACTCGAACTACTGGTAGCAATTTACCTGCTTTGTCTGGGGCAGGTCAACCGGTAGGTGCCATGTATCCATTCCCCCAGAGTCATACTAACTCACCTATCCGCTCCAGAGCATCCAAATTCTCCAACATGGCTCTCCGTTCAGCTCTCTCTCTCGGCATAAACCTCCGCCTAACAGACGAGCGTACCAAGGACGCCGCAAAAGAAAGCCGCGGCCGCCTGTGGTGGTCCATCTACTCCCTCGAGCACCTCCTAGCCTCAATGACCGGCCGCGCCTCCTGTGTCGGCGAAGGCCTCTGCTCCGTCCCCGCACCCCTCCCCTATGAAGAAGAAGCATTTGACCATCCTGATGCCAAGCGCCTCCTCCAAGACCCAACCCTCCGTGAAGCCCAACTTCGCTCCACCCTCTTCGAACCCCCTAGACAGCACCACTGCCCTGTATGGGTGACCTCCTGCCCACCCTGCTCATCCCTCTTCTTCAACTTCCTCGTCGACCTGACCCTCATAACCCACGCACTCATGAACAAAGTCTACAGCATCGAAGGCCTCCGCAAAGGTCCCAGCCAAGTAGAATACCACGTGCAAAAATTCAGCCTCCAAATGGACCGCTGGCTGTCAAAACTTCCTCTATTCTACCAATTCACCATCCCAAATGCCGACCCCTGGCACCTAAACCACCCCAAACTAGACGACCTCTCCGTCCCCTTAGTCCGCGAACGCGTCTGTCTAGCAATGAACTACTGCTCCGCTCGCATAACCCTCTGCAGACCATGTCTAAGCCACATCCACCAATCCCCCCGGCATTCCTCGCCAACCGGCGGACCCACCGCGCGCGGGAAACTCCGGTCCGAAATGGCTACGCACTGTCTGCAAGCTTCATGCGCGCTTATCTCCATCCTCCCAGAAAACCCGAACATGACATGGCTGGCTCGCGCGGCGCCCTGGTGGAGTATCCTGCATTTCCTCATGCAGGCGACGACTGCTCTATTGCTGGGTTTGTCGTACTGTTCTGGCGCGTATACGTCAGACAGTCCAGACCGCGCGAATCCGCTCCTCTCGCCTGCTACTCCGTCCATGGCGCAGTGGGCGGGTGTTTACCCGCCGCTGCTGGAGAAGGATTTGAGTACGGCTGTTGCGGCGGCGAAGAAGGCGCTCGCTTGGCTTCATACTACTGCTTCTGTGGACCCGGCGGCGGGGAGGGCGTTTTTGCTTTGTGAGGGCATTGTTAGGAAGATTGCGCCTGGGTTGGGGATTGATTTGACCGACTGGCCCGATGGGAGTTGTTTTGAGGGGTTGATGGAGGGGAAAGAGAGGGGGTCTAGTGGGAATGGGAGTTGGAATGTGGATAGTAGTGGAAGCAATGGTCATGATAGTGGGAGTGGGATGGAGGCCTTTGAGGAGTTGGTTGATTTCGAAGGTGGTGTCTTTTAGTTTAAGTGCGATTTCACTATAGCTGTATACTCTGATGAGAATACGATGAATGAATGTCTACACCTGGGCAGACATCATATTGAAGTTTTACGGTATACAGCTGTCTCTTACAGCCAGTCTAAGAGCTTTAGTTCCGCGAAGCTGGTTGAAGAGAACATTATTCCGCAAGAAGCGGGGTAGTCGCATAAAGGATGTGGGAAAGGGTAAGGTGCGTCGAATAAAGAGGTACTAAGGGGTGTAGCGCGTGATAAATGTGAAACTCTGCGCGACGTGGCCGGTTGACGCGTCGAAGAATAGGCGCTTGGTCGAAGGTGACGATGGAGTAAAGAGGAAGGTTGAATAGAGCTTCCGGGCTCGTAACCTATAGAGAGAGGCGCACGGAGACGTTGAGGTGCATGATGCAATGTTAGATGAGATCGAAGAGTTGAGAAAGCTACCTAGGTAAGTTCTTGACTATGAAACATGACGATTCCCTACATTACAATGCTTTCAAGCGAGAATGTCCAACCCCCTCTCTACCTCATGCACCACGGTCTCTAGTAATCCCATTCCAGGTAATTCAAAGCGACTGGGACCCAGTGATTTAGACTGGCTTCTTTGTGTCTTTGCAATATCGCATAGCTGCTGCCAGGATCGCTTTGCCCTCTCCGCATGTCGCGCCGGTGTCCGGTAATCACTGTCCGCCAATGAACGCGAGAAGACCTCATACGCAAGGTACCCCGTCCAGCCGAGGTCCAGGATGGCCTTGAGTATGCTGAGGACAGGCAAGAAACCACCACGGTCGGACTCACAAAGGAAAAGCCGACAGTTCCGGGACCAGCTCAGTCGACTGGGCTGGTCGGCAACATAGAAAGGGTGGCCCGTGTGGAGAGGCTGGCTGAGACGCTCCCCGTCGGCTATTTGCACGATAAACAGCTTGCTGACATCCAAAGTAGAGGCCATACGCCCCAGTGAGGCGGACAGATCGGTCTCGGCCGTGTCCGCAACGCGACCGTCCTCCGTGGTGGGATCAGCGTAGATGGCGCCGGCAATGTTGAACGTATCCAGGGCGAGGCCTAGATTGGGCCGATTAACTGCCTGGACGATCTCCCAGGACTTTTCCCATGTGTTCACGTGCGTGCCCCAAGCGAGTGCCTCGTAGGCAAATTTGATGGAGGACTCGTGTTGGGCGCCTCGTGCAGCCAGTTCGCGGAGGTCCTCGACGATTATGTCGAAGTCGCCGACTGTCTGAGGCAGCCCGGTCGCTGGGTCTTCGGGGAGGAAGTTCGAGGGGACTAGAATAGTGTCTGCGCCGAGGATTTTGAGCGCGTCCATCCATACGGGAAGCACCTCGTCTAGGATGTGGTTGCGCTTTTTGCGATTAACTAGGCCCTCGTAGAAGCGTAGGGGCTGGAGGTTGAGAACGACAACGTTTAACCGGTCACACTGCTGGCGAATCTGATGGGCAGCAGCTAATATTGAGTCACGGGAAGGGGCCAAGGTGGCAGGCGCAGGGCTGATATCTTTGGCGAGGGCCTCGAGGTCATCGATGAAGAGTTCAATCGCCTTGAATCCATTTCGGGCGGCTTCGTCAATCTTGGTGGTGATGCTATGGAATTTGCATGACCCAAGGGAGACAGTCGTGATAGCTGGCTTACAATCCATCTGGAAAATTGAAATGATAAGTTCAAAGCGAAACAATCGAATATATCGGGTCGTGTTTCAACCCCAAGGGATGGATTATATACATAGGGCAACGTACATTTGTAGAACAGCTCGCGACAATGGACCAGGATGTAGTCGTCATCAGCCAGAGGGCGTGAAAATGACTGTTCAAGTTGGAAGGTCGTATCCCGACGGCGTAATGCGATCTTGTGCAGTAGTTTTACGCCATCCAAATGCTCATTATGTGACACAAACATATATTTGTTGATTTTGCAGAAGAAGAACATTCAGCTGGCATCACCCCTGAGCTGTGGCGCGCTGAGTTTAGACACATTGATCGACAAGAGCTACTATAGGAAGAAGCAAAGAGCTGTATATGCTGTGACCGAATATTCCTACGAGATCTCTCTCTCTATATTACAAGGTAATTTCACCCAAGTTTGCCTAATTGTTTAATGTAGATCTATTTTTTTCCCTCGTAAATAGACATTGGCACAACCACGAAACTGGCGAAGTTCAGCGATGGACGAGAGGACTGTATCTACGGAGTAGGCGTCAGCCACTTGGGCACTCGGGAAGCCCAACACATGCCTGTAAAACATATATAGGCGGATGAGATGTGTCTTTTACTGGTAAACAACTGCGTATTCTGCGCGATGCAGCTCACCAAAATGAGTATTCCTACATGCTAACCCCCCACTTAGCACTTGGCCATGCACGGGAAGTGTGGGTTCTTGGCCCCAGTTTTATCCAACGAACCTAGCGAATCTGCATTTCTTGACACTTATACAGAGAAATGCGCTCGACACCTTAAGTGTGTGTGCATTCCTGGCTGGCTGAGAAGATGGTCTGGTCTTGGCATGCATCTAAGCGGGCCAATACAAACTGGAGCTGAGTTGGCAGCTGAAAAGAAGAATTTGTCACATTGTGATGCAAAGATGTGGGGCAATACGCCGAAGGTATGACAGAATAGCAAATTATGTTGGGAGATTTTAGGCGTATCTTGGGGAGATTTTAGGCGATATTCGACTAGTCAGCTGCGATGCACTGCGATGCACAGTGATGAGCTGTGTCTCTGCATGATTTGGTTTCTTTTCCCAATCAGAATCCACCTCTTTCTTACAAAATTTAAAGAAAATAATCCTCGATGTTCATGCGAGTGCGGAGTAGGTTACGGAGATCTGCAAGGTACATGAACTCGTATCTATCACAATTGTAAGTTTGCGAACAGAATGTCGCATCAATATGATGAGCTATAGTGTAGATCATGTATCTAGTATCTATCAGTGAACTAGATCATAGTCCTTCCTCATGGTGTGATATATGGTCTTAACGTATATCCATTTTGCCACCTATTGCTATATGCACCACATATATAAACTTTAGTACAAAACCCTCTCCACATCGTTCTCGTTCACCTTGTTCTTGCCTTTAAGCGGGGCCGTCAGCATGGAAAAGAACGACAAAAGGCCAGCGACCAAGCATAGAACCCCAAGGACTAGCGTCATAAATCCCCAGCCTAATTCACGTTTTATGAATCCGCCAGCGATCGGGCCAAGCGTTTGACCGGCAGCAAATGCCATGTTACAGAGTGCATAGGCTCGTCCCAGTCCACTGCTATTCTCTTCCGCGATCCCTTGAAGGCTTTCAATCTTCCGGACTGCATTGGAGACATCCCCCATAAGAATCGCTTGCAGTGTTGCGAGGCAGACTCCGACGACAAAGAGCAAGGAAATAAGGGCGATTTCATGGTGGACCGTGTTTGCTTCAGTCCACCGCAAGGAGATCATCGGTACTGCCATCAACAAGAATCCAGTCACCACAACCGTTCGTGGCATGAAATGCCTTACAAAGTGGGCAATTGGAATACTGAGGACGGATGGTATCGTCAATGGGAGGAATACGAGTCCCGCGCCCAGACTAGACCAATGGTATGTGTCGAGTACATATAGTGGAAGCGTCTGCATTTCAGTTAGCTGTGCCCTTCCTTATACCGTGGGAAATGTAAGGTACCGTTTCAATGGCAGATAAAATAGAAGAAATGACGAGGACAGAAAATATCAACCCCAACATGACTGGATGCAAGAAATGGTAAAAGCTCAACGAAGTATGGTCGGAGATGCTGTTGTCCAAGAGAGGAGAATCCTCCTGATGCTTTGTTTCATCTGTTACTCGTTTCATTAGCATCTAGGAACATGAAAAATGAACGGGTGACCGACCTTCATCCTCCTGTACAATCAACATTCGCAGAATAATGTCAACCACAAGCAATGCCATTGGGACTCCGAAAGCACCAACAGTGCCAAATTGGGAAAATCTGTTTTCTCAGCCACCAAGGTCATAATGGATGGGGATGCCCAAAAAACGTACAGGAAACCACCAGTCATCGGCCCACAGAGCATTCCCCATGTCAACGATGCCGACCCACAAGCCATATGCGAACCCAGATGTTCCGGACTGGATGTTTCGGCGATCATGCTCAAGCCTAGAACTCCCACGACCGCACCTGACAGACCCTGGCATACTCGAGCCGTGAGCAGCACCCAAATATTACTTGCAGAGATGAATAGGACGGTCGCTAGGGCCATGGCGATGAAACCACAAACTAGTGGTGCTTTCCGAGTGCGATACTTGTCGCAAAAATATCCCACAACAGCTGTAACTCGGTCATTAGCACATTTACAATGAATTGATGTTCGGATATACCCACGAGAGCCAAGTAAAAGAGCAAGCCCATAAGTCGCTAACAGAACAGAGGACCACTTTTGAACTAGTATCAGTTAGCAAATAGGGCTTTCCAAGTCATGGAGACATAGAGTAGAAATTACCGTCATTTGAATCTGTGTTGCCATTGCGCATCAACAGAAAAGGAAGAATTGGTACAATCTAGGAGTTCGTATGTCAGCTATTTCATGGATTGCCCTGGAGCTTTGTGATACCCAGAGGAGAAATACTTACAATTCCATAGACGAAAGTGTCCTATCGCGTATTTCAAGGTTAATTGGTGAAACCCAAAGTCCGAATTCAAGGACACTTACCGTGAACAGCGCAAAGCATAAAGCTACCAGTATAAAGGTACTGGAGGATCTTGTTTTCTTAGTAAATACGCTTTGAACACCCATGGTGACTGTTGAATTTTCGCGATGTGTTTCGACAGAAGCGAGACTCGGGAGAATTAAGAAATGGAGATGACGAGTATAGGCCGAATTATGAGGAGCTGAAAGCTGAAAATAAAGATGTGCAGAGGATGTGCAGCTGAAATAGCCAATAGACATATGAATTGATGGTGGCGTGCGCAGTTCCTTATAGCCAAGAAAAAAAGCAAACAAATGTACTTTGACGTGGTATCGTCGATCGCTATGTATGTACTCCGCATCGAAAATGGAACTGCGTCAAATCTCCACCAGAGATGCATGATGCATGAGAAAAAAAAAGTACAGTCCATTAATGTAACAAGCTGAACTTTGGTAATACAATCCCTTCCCTCGCACATTTGGATTTATTTTATATATATAGGGCCTTGGGGCACGTCTAGATCGTACAGACCTTCCTGTACGAATTCCCCCCATTCATTATCCTTCATCATGGCGCCCTCAATCGCAACTCTTGACCATGGGTCTTCTGTTATACCCATCAGCACCTTGAAGCTACCTAAGAAATCTCCTTCTCAGATCCCACAAGAATTCGTCGATCTTCCACTCACTCTTAGCGAATCCCATATCCTTGAGGCGGCAAACTCCCAATACATGGAGTACTTGGATCCGGAATTGGCTCAGGTTCTTGACATAGAGTCGATCCTCGTTGTCTGCTGGTTACTTGTGGTACATGGTTTCTCTCCTGTGAGAACCATGTACCTCGAGTTCCATCCTGGGTCAAATCTGTGCTATATAGATGGCAAATCTCAGGGCACGGAGTCGTACGCTCTTGAGTTTGCCTTGGAGCGTCCATTGAAAGATCTCGTTCGAGATTTCTGTCTCATCAAGGCGGGCATCAAGTCGACTAACCCTGACGAAGGATGGGCTTCCGATGAGAGGAATCACTTTCTCTCTTCCGCTGTCCGCTATGCCGGTGACCGTCCAAATTTGCAAAAGGCACCCTTATCTGCCAATTCAAAGGTACCCTTTACCTATGCTCATTTATCCCCCAATGCCCCAGCGGAACTAATCTCGTCTCGTCCAGATCCCGAACCCAAAGCTGATGCTCAATGTCACCAACGACAATGGCAAGCTGCACGCGAGCCTTGCTTTCTCATCGCCTGACATGTCCAAAGAATTCGCAACAAGCCTTCTTCACTCCTTGAACAAGGTTGTCGCATCTATATACCGTTCCCCCCAAACCTCTTTGGGCGACCTTGATTTATGCTCGGACCTTGACCTAATCCTCTTGCAAAAGTTCACGAGGGAGGTTTCGGACTCTAACGAGGTCTTGCTACATGACATGGCATTGGAGCATGCGCGACTGACCCCGGACGCCCCTGCAATCTGTTCGTGGGATGGAAACTTCACTTATAGAGAGTTGGATGATTTCACATCTCGTCTTGCTCTTTACTTGACTGATATTGGCGTTGGTCCCGAAACCTTCGTGCTCAGTTGTTTCGAAAAGTCATCTTTGGCGATTATTGCTCGTCTGGCTATATTGAAAGCCGGTGGGGCGTATATATCCATCGACGCGAGCGACCCTCCCATCTTCCTCGACTCCGTTATCAACCGCGTTAACGCTAAAGTCATGCTCACATCCCCGGAGTATGCAGCCAAATATGCCTCACTTGTTTCGAATGTCGTTTCGATTACGGGGGATATGCTAAAGGAGCTTCCCACGGGGACAGTGTCCTCAAAAGTCCAACCACAAAACGCCTGTCTGATTCTATTTACCTCCGGGAGCACGGGCCAGCCCAAGGGTATAATCCAGGAACATCGGTCTTACGCCACGGCAATCCGCGATTACAACAAGGTCCTTGGTCTGGGCCGACACAGCCGTGTATTCCAGTTCGATGACTATGCATTCGACATCAGTAACAATGATTATCTAACAGCTTTGGCAGCGGGTGGCTGTTGTTGTGTCCCCACGCCCGAAAAGACCATATCAGCTCTGATTGAAAATATCAACCTCACAAAGGCCAATATGAGCTTCATGACTCCAACAATCGCCATACAACTCAGCCACAAAGACGTCCCATGTCTGGAGCTACTCTGTGTCGGCGGCGAACCCATGTCAAACGATCTCCTCATGAAATGGTCACCTCATGTGAAGCTCGTAAATCAATACGGAATGGGCGAGGCGGCCACATTCTGCGCGTACAACGACAACCCCAAGCCAGGTCACAATGCCGTGGTCGGCAAATCCGGCAGCGGTGCCATTTGGATTGCAAATCCTTCCTCGCCTGAGCGGCCCGTGCCCGTCGGCGCTGTTGGCGAGATCTTGATTGAGGGCCCCCACCTCTCCCGTGGGTATTTGGATGACCTCTGCCAGAAACCCGATGTGGGATTCCTTAACACAGTGCCTCGGTGGATTGCGGATCTCCACCCGTCGCGAGCACAAAGCTCTCGCATCTATCGGTCTGGTGATCTCGGTCGATATCGCCACGATGGTACGGTGGAGCACATGGGCCGGAAGGATACACTTCTTAAACTCAACGGTGGTCGTGTTGAGTCGACCGAAGTCGAGTACGTCCTTCGAAAGACTCTTTCACCGGGCGACTTTACCGTCGTCGATATGCTTGGCGAGATTGATGGTACCGATGACCCTATCCTAGTGGCCTTCGTTTACCTGGTGGATAACCCGGCAAACCTTCTTCCTGGAATTTCAGACCACGAAATGTCGTTCCTTCCGATAACGAATCGTGTCCGAGTGAATAGCCTGGTGGAGGCGATGCAGAATGAAGTCCATACCACGTTGCCAAAACACATGATGCCTAGCTTGTTTATACTTGTCGACCGAATCCCCCGTACACGGTCTAACAAGCTTGATCGCAGAAAGTTGCATCAAATCGCCCAAAAGTGGTATATGGGGAACCAATGTTTGTAAATCTGCAGCCTGGTGTTTCTCCCTTTTGGTTTGGCTTATCTCTTGTGTGGGTTGTCTTATGTACTCTATTCGCATGCTTTCCTCATCAAACTTGTTCTGTTCATCATTTAAGGAAATGGCTGCAGTAAAAAAGAAAATGTGGTCGTATGACCGTCAGGTCCTCATATTCTAGAAATGACTGAGTGTTTTTCATAACGGTCCGTGTACACTTACTTGGAGACCGTGCCCTCGTACAGCCTTTAAAGGGACGGCAGAGAATATCGTAAGTACGGTACGTACAGTGACATAGGTAAATATATGTAGGTAACCAGTGTTTGCATATGCAGTGATAAAATAAGAGCAGCTCCTATAGGGAGACTACGGGGATTAAATATAACGTTCACTATCGTAGGCAATATGGAGGTTAAACAAGGCTAATTGTGCACAATTGACAAAATGAGATTAGGACTGAGTATGTACTAAATTGAGAACATTAGATATGTAAGAAAAAGAATGAAGAAAAACCACAGGCTAAGTAAATAATAGACGGAGACAGGAAATGCCTGAGATGCCAATGACACAAACGCACGCAACGCCATAATAGGCCACGAGAAGACGTCATATGAGATTTCATGGACGGGAAACGATGAAGAAAACGCACATAACAGAACCAAGGAATGATATTAACATCGATGTTCTTTAGAATGAAATCCACGTCAAAATATACTAGCCAGAAGAGAAACTTCGGGCAATGGATGTTGCATTAATTGGATGAAAACCGTATCCTGAGCCACATTTAGCACTAGGTTGGTTGTGGCTGCATCTGGACCTGGAAGGTATGCTGATGTTCATGTTGTGGTGCGGGCGGCGGAGGGGCCTGGCTGCGTTGTGGAATTGGAGGTCTGCGTGGTTGTCCCGGCATGCCGTGAACAGGAGACTCGGACGACATCGGGTGCTGCATTTGTTGTTGCATCGGAGAGTGAAGATATGGCTGGTGCGGAAGGGGCCGCGGGGGGTGGACAGGAGAATGGTGGTGCATTTGCATGTGTGGCATAGAGAGCGGTTGGCCAGGCTGCTGGGGCAGGGATTGGCTATGCGGCAAGTGAGAACCAGGCTGTGAGGACATGTGTTGGTTCTGTTGCTGGTGCATGTGCTGGACTTGCGGCTGCCCAATATGCTGATTTGCCTGCGCCTGCGAAGACTGATTCTGTTGGAACATGTGGAGATTCTGCTGTTGCGGCAGAGGCTGGCCTTGAAGCATCTGCGGTGGTGTCGGACAGGTCCGTTGGCGCGCTTCTTCATCGATCGAAGAAGTCGCACGGTTCAGCGCCGCCGTCGTATCCGTGCTCTCACCCAATTGAGTATTGGTGGGCTCTGCCTGCGACTGATCTCCACCGGCGGCGGCGGCGGCGGCAGCTGCAGCGGCCACATCAGCCTTACGAGGTCTCCCACGCGGTCGGCCCGTGCCAGGTGCCTTTGGTTTGGCCGAAGCTGGCTTCCTTGGTTTAGGGGGTGGTAAGGGCTGACCCGTTGCAGCTGCCCATGCAATTTGATCAGCCTTACGAGGACGTCCACGTTTTCGCTTCAAAGGAGTCCCGTCCGGTCCCAGAATAGGCGTCCCCTTAGTTGTGGTGTTTGGTGCCGCGGAGCCTGGAGCAGTCGGCGTCATATTCGCAGTGAATGAAGCCTGTCCTGGTTGAGGTACTCCTGGTATAGAGTCGCCGTTTTGAGCAGCCTGTGCGGCCTGTGCAGCAAGCCTGGCCGCGACTTCCTCCTTCCTAGGCCGTCCCCGACGACGCTTCGCTGGCGGAGTGGCAATCTGGTCACCTCCAACTGCGGCCACGGCGGGCATCTGCCCTTGTCCGTTAGCCAGTGTGGGGTTAGCGGTAGGAACGGCCATTGGGGCATTGATTTGAGGCTGAGCATGAGGCTGAGCCTGGTTTTGAACAGGCTGAGCTTGAGCCGGAGCAGCCTTCTTCGGTTTGCCCTTCTTCTTCGGTACAGGACTTTCCTCGTCAGGCTTCATCACTGGGCTTTCCGTTACCGTAGGGACAACAGGTGCAGGTGGCTGGGACGAAGGCACGGCAGCAGAGTGCGGTCCCTGGTAATGCTGGAACTGAGCCTGGTGCGGAGATGGCTGGAATTGCGTCTGCTGTGGCTGAGAGAATTGCGTCTGATGTGCGGCGTACTGATGGGATTGAGCTTGATGCTGTTGATATTGAGATGGGTGGAATGGAGGCTGGGTATGTTGGGAAAAAGGTGACTGCTGTTGGAATGGGTTGTGCGCCTGAGTCTGGTGCTGCAATTTCTGCATCCTCTGCTGCTCTAACTGCTTCTGCTGGTGTTCAAGCCGCTGCTGCTCCACCCGTTGCTGATGCTGCTTTTGTTGCTCGAGCCTCTGTTGCTCTAGGCGTTGCTGCTGCTGCTGTTGCTGCTGTTGCTGCTGCTGCTCGAAAATCTTTTGCTCATCAAGCTTTTGCTGTTCCAATTCCTGCTGTTCTAAGCGCTGCTGTTGCTCTAAACGCTGCTGCTGGATTTGCTTTTGCTGCTCCTTCCTTTGCTGCTGCTCCATCCTTTGCTGCTGGAACTGCTGCTGTTGAATCTGCTGTTGCAATTGTTGGTGTGTCTGCTGAGGTGACTGCGGTTGTGACTGTGGCTGGATCTGTCGCTGCTGATTCAAGGCAAACATAGACGGGCTAGCCATCGACGGACTGGCCGAGGTATGGTTATCCCTTTGTTGCATGGCTGCGTGGGGCAGTCTGTTCATGCCCTGCTGCGGCGAAGGAACATTCATGGGATGTCCATGAGTGAGACCAGCTGTCCCCGGCTGCGGCCGCAGGTGGGCCATTGGATTAAACCCACGCTGGAGATTATGCAGTGCCATAGGGTCCGGGTTGCGAGACATCATATCTGGGGAGCTTTGCGCCGCAAACTGACCCGGAAATTGGCCAAAACTGCTGCTGGTGGGGTACCCACCTAATGACCCCGACGTCGGGGTCATCTTGCGCGTATCCGGAGATTGCGATGCAGCGAAGTTCTGCTGAGGTTGCCCCCGAAAAATTGGCTTGTTGCCCGGGAAAGGACTGCCATGCTGTGGCAGCGGCGGCCCCGCACCTAGCAAGGGCGACTGGGCATGCTGACGTTGAGGCTGTGGACCCAACGGGTGTTGGGACTGGACACCTTGATGTTGCTGTTGCTGAGGCTGCTGCGGCTGCTGAGGGTGGAATTGGTGACCACCGTAGTTCATCATTTTGACTCAATTTTAGAAATGCGCTCGCACTTGACCGTAAGCGGTAGAGAATGGAGTTATCCTTTTCGACCACGAAGCATGCAAGGGCGAGAACGGTCAAAATGATCGCAAACTAGCTTGAAAATGGAAATCTGAAATGCAGAATGACAGTTTTAACCAAGACTGTCACTGATGTTGCGCCAGCGCTGCTGATAATTCTATTCGGAGAACCGCCACCTGAGTCGCGCCGAGGCCGCGTGTTTGTTGTTCCCTAGATGCCTGAGGCCACAAGGCAACAAGGCAACAAGGCAATAAAGCGACCGCGCACTGATTCCCAATTGGGCTTAGCGGCTACGGAGACCGAGGCGAGTCGGTCAGCGCAGTTTGAGAAAATGAGTCCACGGTCGCGCAAAGGGACTCAGGGGAAGGGGACCAGCTGGGGGGATCCAGAGAGACAGCGAAGCTGATCCAAATCTATTTGCTACAGACCTTAACGGATGTCAGGGCCCAGCAGAAGTAGATTGGAGATGAAGTGGATGACGCTGGGCTGGAATCCTCGATGGCGAGGGAAAAAAACATTAAAAAATAAAATAAAAAATAAAAAAAGAAATTGGGAAAAAACGGATTTTTCAGATTCTCCTCTCCACATCACGTGATTATTCATAGGCAGCCTTCATTTACACTCTCTACCTACCTACATACCGTGTGTGTCGTAGGTAGGATAATCTCCTCATCTATCAACTGAAATTATGAAGTTTTGAAGTTCTGGACTTCTGAACTTCAGTTCCTCTCCTTAACTTGTCAATCCTCGTTTACACACCTGGTGATCTGCTTATCTTCCGCAATCCTTGTAAAAGTATAGAATCACACCTACTCACAAGTACTACACAAAGTACGTGTTACCTGAAAACTATGGGGACATCATTCTGCTTCCCTGACATCCTTGCCCTCCGCTACCCGAGATCTGCCAAACCGGGCGAAATAAAGCTTGAAACCACCCCTTTCAAAGTGCCAATACTAAGGATGATCCACAATGCAACCACAAATTGGGAGCGGATCGGCATGAAATTAACCGAGCACTATATTGTAGATCATGAACATCTTCAATCTTATATTTCCGAGAATATCCAAGAATTTTAATGGAAGGTCTTTTCTATCTTTGCCATTCTGACAAGCCTAGTCGGCCGTGTATGCGGCCTGTGTCCTTAACGCTGTAGGATAGGTTGTTATATGTAAGCTAACATTCCGGTGTCCTTTCTGGTTGTTCCTTTTCGATATAATTTTCAAATTTATTTTTTGATATTGTTTGAGAATTTTTAATTTACGATATCATACCTAGAAGGATGATCATTAAGTATAGACGGTAGACATGTCAGGCCTGTCACTCTACTGTGTACCTGTGGACAAAACACGAGGGCGGTAAAAACCAAAAACCATACAGACTTTTCTATGTATAACCCGGAATGGAGGCAAGGGGTGACTACCATGCGCAGTAAAATCTAGATTGAAAATGACTAGAACGCGCAAGAAACGCCAGATATATCCTACCCGGTGGTCTTGTTCAGGCGAGGCCCAGCGAATGTAGCAAACTCCCTCCATTCTTCTTCAGTCACCGCATTTATTGCATCTCTTCTAAGGTTATTCTTTGGTCGAACGTCTGTTTTACATGTAAGCATTCGGCGCTATTTTTCAATACAGCAAAGCCTTGTCCCTTCTGGGCATCGACCCTCCTTGTCACCATTTCCAACCCTTCCCTTCATCGTATTGGAGATCGTCTGCTCGGATGCGAACGTACTCATAGCTGGCCCGGGAGTCAAGGGTGAGGAAAAACAGAACGAAGTTGTAGTCGTCCCAGGTCGCGTTTCGGGGGCGGACAGCCCGTCTGAAGCCGGAGATTTTGCTACGTGTCATTAGCTTGAGATTCCAAGGTATAGATAGAGTAGAACATACACATCACCTGTCTTTATATCGAGTATGATCTTTGTTGCGGTCGTAAAGACCGGCTGGTACCCACACTTCAGAACTTCCCTAATCCTAGTCAACTGAAATTACGTGATTATATATAATCAAGCTATTTAGTAGTTAACAAACATGTAGGCCTCTTTAAAATTCCGGCGGACGATTTCTTATTGTCGTAGGGAAGGCTCCAGAACTCCTCAGGGTTAATAGGATCTCCTTCGATCTTTTCCCATATAAGGCATAGGATATATCCGCCGGGGACAAGGTCGTTTTTATCTTACTTATCGAATCGATATCCAAGGAGTCTAGGGGTAGCGTGCACCTATTTTCTGTGAAACGTTTTAAGGCATACAACTCCACGTGGGGCTGTGCCTCGGAGGCCTGTTTTCCCCGGTCGCTCAACTTAGAAAGTTCAGTGTCAGCTAGAGGAACTTGTTTATAGATACACATAAAGGTGAGGCTGTTGTGGGCACCTTCAAGCTGACAAGCTGACGAGGATATTTTCCAGCGGGGTATGAGGGGCCTATGCCAAATTCGAAATCCTCTGGGGTTATCAGGCTTTGAGTCTCATCCAGCTTTTCCCTGATAATCCAGGTACGAGGGGGGTAAAGATCAGAGTCCAGAGGGTCGCATTCTGTGGTGATCGTTTCATCGATCATCCCGGGAAGAACTGGCCGTGTTTCCATTTCAGGAATAGTGGCTCGTGAAAGGGTGGTAAGAGATGAGAAAGCAAGATGAAGATAGAAATGACGACAAAATTGTCAAGTCAATTTAAATTTAAGGCCATGCAAACATACCCTGGAGGGCATAGAACTCGCTAACCTTGGAAGCCTTCCGACAGTGTCCTTTCGGTGAAAGGGCGCTGGTCAGTTTCATTCTCACAATACCAACTCAACTTAAGAACGAGCACGATGAGCTTCGAGCACCGTTAATTAGCCCCACGCCACATCCCAGATCTAGGCCCCTACTGTTGATGTACAAATCGGACTTAGGCTGCTTCAGGTGAAAAGAGTAAACATTTTGAATGATGATTTACTTGGGTCAGGTAGGAGTGCGACATCCCTGAATCTTTCCAAAGCCGAAATCTGCGTTAGTAGCACTTCCAAGATGTCAGCGTTCATTATGCTCACTAATATTTAGATCATCCCGAGGTCTACTACTTGATTCCGATCCATCTCAAAGAAGAACATTCCATTACAAATGGTAAACCAGAGTCTAAATAGGCTGTCTGTATCAGCACCCTAAAATATAGAACAGGTAGCTAGAAAAAGCAAAGATAGATGGAAAAATAGAAGAACAACAAAAAGAAAAAGAAGCACTTGCTTCATCCTTCAACACGAAGCATGAACCGCAGGTTTAGCCCCAGGAAGAAGCCCATTAGCTTTGAAGAAACGCCTGTCACGAATGGATACAAAGGCCAACAGCCCAGCCAATCCACTTGAGGGAAACGAAGTTAGTGAAAGAACCACACCGTCGCTTCGACATACTACTTACCACAGAAAGAAGACCAATGTAGCCGCAATACCACCCAATGCCCGACTGCTCCCGGTAGTCGACCCCATAGTACCCATGATCGTGATTACAAACAGAGCAAACCAAAACACAGTATCGATGATATTCAATATCATGTACGCCTTTGTGCTTGCCCATCGTTTAAGTCGATCCATGTGAGTGGTCATTATTTGATAGGCCATGAAAACGGCTGATTTGATGCACTTTTGCCATGGGTCAATGAATTCCATGCAAGATATTGCAGTATAAGTGGGAAGGTAACTCACCACGGCAATGCCCCAAATATTAGTTCTCGTCTTCGGAGTGCCACTGTTGGCAATGCGTGCAATGATGAGAATGAAGACGATCAAGACCAAGGCGCCAATTATGATGTGGAGTCGGAACTTGATCACTGGGCTTCTTTCGATTGATAGATTCATTGTTCTGTTGTGTAGGCTTTCTGTCGCTTTCCGATTTAATCGACGCTAGTGGCTTCAATGCGAACACTAGTATAAGGGTAGTCGTTTCCGGAGGTCTTGTCTAAATCTTAGATTAGTCTTGGTATGGGGGAATCAATCGATTTAAATATTGAATTATGCTTAGTAGGCCTCGTAATCGCTTAGAATGCATATTTAAGGCAGAATATTTTTAAGATAATTTAAGAATAATTGTTGGGATCTGATAAGTTCTAGTCTTGGCTCTACTTCGCATTCGTATTCTTACCTGTACGCGGAAATGATCAGCCACAATAACCAAATGTTTTGATTAAAGCTGCTTCCTTTTACTAATTTCGGATTGCCTGCCATTTATTGTCAAAAGAAAATTGTTTCTGGTTGGTGTACGGAGTACCAAGGATATTTGATTCAAAGAGATTCTTCGGTTGTTCAAGTCCCTGGGCCAGGGTTGTATATGCCGGTCCACTTCCAGGGTCCTTCCTGATCCCAAGTTGGAAGATTCGTCAAGATGTCTTTTTTTAGACACTTTTTTGTCGCCGCTTTATAGCTAAGATAATAATAATTAGCTATAAAGTTACTGTTAGGAATAGGAATAATAGTCCGAAATAGGCATCTTAGTTGTATCACCATACGACAATATATATACGACCGGCGTAAAAATCATGAACATACGAAGGCTTTTGGTATGACCCAGGATATCCAAGTTCGCGGCTTTGAAAGGACTGCCGCGCCAAGCAGTATTTACACCTTACCCAAAGCAACTGTAGCCAAGCATAGGCCTTCTATGAACATTAGGAGCATCATGGGATGTCAAATTGCTCACTCGGCCTGCGAGCCTGAGATAGAGACAAGCAAAGAGTGACTACTACCGCTGATGCGGCTATACTTTGCATTAGCAGCCTGATTCTCTTCCTGGAGTTATTAAACCAGAGCGAGCATCATTCCTCGAACGTTTCAGGCCTGGCAGAGGCGCTCTGGGTATATGGTAAACAGAACGCATATTCAATAACCGCTTGCGCATTGCCGTACTCCATGCATGCAAGTACCCAGCAAGCTGGATATACTCTGCATGTGGCCTGATATCTGGCTTGCAGCTAGGGAAAGTTGACTTGGCCATCTTCACATTTGCACAGACGGGAGGACGCAGTGTTGCCGACGTGCGTTGTCGAGCGTCTGGCCCACTAAGTATCTTTCAATAGAGACATGTCGCAATGCATGTTGTAAGAGACATGATCTGTGTATCGCTTATGGGCCTAATTTCCATGTAAGACCGGAGGGCAAGACTAGCGCAGTTTTAAACTCAGTAAGAAGACGAAAAGTTATCTCCCAGGAGACAAAAGAATGACGAAGCCATTTCGGAATATTCGGATTGCTCCAAAGTGCAAGATTTGTGGTACCACAGATATCGACAAGGATATAAGTCCCTTGCTATGGCATCGAGCCCGAACGGCGAAAACGAGCTTTGAGAGGGAGCTCTCAGCAAACATCGTCCTCGTACCCAAGTTGACCTTCCCAAGTATTCGGTTAGCAAACGTTGAATTGGACCTATTTTCAACCCCTACACCTCGTATATCCTATATCCATATGCCAGACAGCCAAGTACTGGACAACGATATGAATAGTGGAAGCACGGCAGCTCAAGTGTAACATAACAGCCTATTCAAACGAGCCTTGCTATTCTCAAGCCGACCACGAGACCAAGAGAGGTCGACGACGGGTGGGTGCGGAAATGCCATAAATAGCTGTTTGCAGGAATTCATTGCAATGTCGAGATCAGTAACGTAGCACCGGCTAGATCAACATCTTTGGGGACGGGTATAAGAGTGTGCATGGTGCGGAAGCATGATCTGTCCACAAAATACAGAATCCCTTCTTTGCGTCAATAGCACCCAGTCACCCGTCTTCAAGTCTCTACCTCAATGCGACTCCTATAATGCCTGAGTCCCAAGACAATCTTACTGGCTCCGATTAGCCCAATAACGTCCCATTTGGCAAATGGGACTCCTTTTCCTGGGAGGAACTTCCTAGATGCGCGGGCACCAAAGCTATTATATTTCGCTCACCGGATAACAAGCGTGTGGCCGGCGCTTTCCGCGAGTCTTCAATCCCCACTATGATATACTCATGTGACGAATTCTGTTATGTGACGGCCGGGTGGCTCAAGGCCCATGTTCATGGCGGCGAAACATTCACTCTTAAGACAGGAGACTGTGTCTACTTTACTAAGGGCCAGACGGTGGACTTTGAGTGCAGCGAGGACTTTGCGAATGTCGCTGTTCTCTTTGGTACTGAGCCTGTTACTATTGTTTGAGGTTAGTGCCGGGCCAATCACTGGTGGTACGGAGAGATGGTGCTGGTGGAATGAAGTATGTATCAGTGACAGTGGACATGATAATGGGTATTTTCACCACTTTTACTGCCCCTGCATTTTACTGTCAACCAGTCAAGTCTGGCAATAGTTGTCGCAAATTTTCGGGCTGGCTATCTCGAGAAGAATAGGACGAGTTAGAGGTGACGTCGGAAAGCTTCATATTTGTACAGGATGCAAGCATCTAGCCTTAGGTCATCAACACCACCCATTTGCCAGTTGGTTAGGCACCCGTACCTACCGCTCAAATCAAAGAAATTTATTGTACAAGTATTGGATGATGTGCTAGCACTGACTGATACTTCAACTACTAAGGGCGTTTGGTACTTTTGTTCATGCTTTTCAATTGAAAAGTTTGCGTCATTGGGCGCATAATTTGGATAATCTCCTAAGTATTAAGTGGAATTTATCCAATTATATAGTTATTCTTGTGCCGTGCCTTCGCGATTGCTCCCGGTGCAGCTGGCAGGAGTGCACCTGGAGGTGGCTGATTCTTCCCTTTAAATTCGTCGCACATTTGCTCAAATGTTACCCACTCAACTCCTTCGTGGCTGTCGATATATTCAATGAGCCTGCATATAGTTGGTTAATCTCACATTAATCAACAGCCTTTGACTGTGTGAGTTTGAACATACCTTTCGTGCATGAGCAGAACATGAGGCCGACCAGAGACATCAGGATGAATCGTCATTGGGAAGACAAACTCATCGTACTCTCGATAGAAATAGTCGAAGTGATCCTGTATTAAGCAAACCTGTTAGTCCAAACTCCCCTAATTCTGGAGGTAAGTAAACACCAACCTTCCAGATATCCTCAACGTCCCGCGGATTAACCCAGCCATGGCTATTCGCTGAATTCTTGATAAACATCATCGGCGGCAAATCATCAATATACCAACTCCCAGGAATCTCCACTAGACCAGTAGTATTACCCTTAACGAGGGGCTTCATCCACGTCTCCGCCTTCTGCTTATAATCAATCTTCGTCCACGTATCTCCAGTCCGCAGCCAGTACATTTGGCAATCCTCATGGGACATGGAATGATCATATTCAATCCCATAAGCGAGCAAGAGCTCAACCATCTCCGCACTGGCCTCCCACCACGGCGCGACGATCCCGCGCGGCGGCTTTCCGCAGAAGTCTGTCAACATGTTATATGTCTTGTCGAGGATGTCGCGCTGTTGCTCTGTAGACAAGTCGCAGGGGTTCTCGTGCGAGTAGCCATGTAACCCGATCTCGTGCCCTGCGTCGCGGACCATCGCACATTCTTCTGGGAAGGTGTCCAGGGTGTGGCCTGGGATGAACCATGTAGCTTTGATGTTGTATTTCTCGAATAGCTTCAGTACACGGGGCGTGCCGACGTGTCCTGCCCAGAGGCCTTTGGAAAGGTTGTCAGTTTGAGAGTGATGATCTTGAAGACATATGAGCTCACCTCGACTGATGTCGCTCACACTGTCCTCGCCTCCGTATGAGCCTAGCCAGCCAGCTACTGCGTCGATATCAACGCCGTAGCCGACAAGAACGCGTTTTTTGCCCATGACGATTGGTTTTGGTGGTATTCCGACGTTGAGATTAAAAGAAAAGATAATGTAATTGCTTTGGGAGTTAGTTGGAATCAGGTGTGGAAGGGATATCGTTGATGTAAATATATTGTCCCTTACCCCCAACAATGCACCGCGACACGCAAGAGTGGGGTGATCGCTAAGCAGCTCGAACTGAAGATATGGATGTTCATGTACTCTGTGATGGATAACTATTTGTCTTAGTCCCACTCATGATTGACGTGATTAATTCCAACTGCCCCATTCGAGGCCATCTTCTCCAGCTTGTCATCGTATCGTCATTCCAATAGGTTGTCCCCACTCCATAACATTGCTAAATGGAAATAGAGAATAATCAAATAGGGACTACAAGTGGGATCAAAAGAAAGTGTGTGATCACTACTTCGAGGTGCCATTGGAAAGGAAAGAACTATTTCTACCTAATCTGTCTGGAATTGGGGCCTCAGGCGCTTATTCTGGCCTGAGGTCATAACATCAATTCAACCGAGGTGAGCAAATTCAACTTCGATGATCATATGTATGTTCGAAATGAGTCTTTCAGAATTCTAAGATGGGTCGGTCCCTCAAAGTTTCCCTTTGATCAAACCTTGGTGTTCATCTGCTCGATGGGAAGACCCTCCATATATTTGCTGTTGCAATATAGCTGTGTTGATCTGTAGACTGGGTGTTAGCAATGGACACAAAACTGCGCAGCAAGGAGTACATACATGCTGAAGGCCAAGGTCGTCCACTATTTTCGCACCAAGGAGTCGCATGCAAGTTTTCATCTCATCCGACAGAACTAGGGATTAGAATTGCTCAGGTTAGCAATACGATACTGATCCATATCTTCGACGAAAACAAACTTTGCAATGTTCGCTCAACCCCCTCGACCCCACCAGCAGCGAGACCCCAAAAAGCCGGCCTTCCTATCCCAACAGCCTTGGCCCCAAGACATAGCGCCTTGACAGCATCTGTACCGCGACGAATACCACCGTCCACCCACACTTCAACCTTATCAAACACATCCGGGCAGTATCTTCGAAGTTCAAGAAGAGTATGTACAGCAGGAGGCGCTGTATCAAGCGACCTCCCACCGTGGTTGGATAACACAATCCCTTTCACAAAAGGCGCATACTGAGCGGCAAGGACTGCGTCCTCGTGGGTCTGGATTCCTTTGAGTACAATCGGTTTGGTAGTATGCTGCGATAACCATTGAAGAGTATCTACCCAAGTGAGCGATGGATCCGTCCCAGCAAAGAGCTGGGTGCTGACACTTGCAGTTGCATTGGCTTGGATATTGATCCGCTCATCGTCTTCTCGCTTGCCCGATACCGGTGCGTCGAGTGTCAACACGACAAATTTGATTTGATCGAGTCGATTAACACGCGCGAGCATACTTTCGCTCAATTTTCTGTTCAGCTGGACATAAAGCTGCCACCCAAATATCTGTGTTGGGGGCGCGTTAGCGACGACCTCCTCCGGAGGGAGTGAGGAGTTGTTTGCGATGATTTGGAGCGCTCGAAAAGAACGACATCCTTCCGCAATTCCTGTTTCTCCCGTGGGGTGTCCGAGACGCGCCATTGCGGTTGGACTGACGAAGATCGGTAACCCGACTTTGTGCCCCAGGAGGTTGGTTCCCAGTTCGCAAGTGCGGCAGTCAACAAATACCCGTGGTCGAAACAGAATTGAGCGATAGGCTTGGGTATTGAGATACTTTGATATCTTGTCGTCGGCAGCGGAAAAGTAGTAACCCCATGCCCTTTTGCTGATTACCTTAGTGGCTGCAGCTTCGATCTCGTCGACATTCAGCAACGTGCTTAATGGTGCTTGGGTAATCCTTTCAGGCTTAGAATGAGTACTTGGCGGCTCTTGTGCCTCGACTAATCCCAAACGCAACTGCTCAATTTCTTTCAGGGTCTCAGGAGGATGGATCATGTCGAACTCCTCCGTGGCCTCTTGCCCTCCCCAACGGAGGATTGCCTGTGTTCCACCAGGATGGTTGTCAAGAACACCTGTAACCTCGTGGCAGTCAGGTAATTTGAATTTGCTAAAGAAAGAAAGAAATGACTTACATCATACACATTTCCATAAAGTATAACCCAGCAACTATCTTGTGTGTGATGCTTAGAGACTGGGAATGTTAGTTCAATGGTCCCTACTCCCAATGTCCCTAATCTGATAATAATGACCAACCTTCAGAAAGAGTAAACATCGTGGCTCAATTGATCAATTAATCAATTAATCGGTTCGGAGTGGCCAGTCGATGGCTTCTGTGTATCCTGGATAATAACACACATTTGAACTTATTTTAACGTTTCACTCCCATTGCATTGACATCGCATGCCCCCACCCCCATGAAAGCCCTTTTGGGTCGATACTTTGATATATGCCAATATTTGTTTGATCATGAGTGAATAGCAACAAGCTACAGCGTTAATCATACTCACAGCTCTTATCTCGTAAATGCACTGCGATCACCCCCCCCCACCTTTGACCCGCTTGTGCAGTGAGTGCGGATACCGATAGACGTTAGGAAAGGGTTTTAATTATTTAGTAATTTATTTTAGTTATGTGCATGCTTCGGGAATATTCTAATTGGGTCATTGACTTTGTGGGGATGTATGGGGGTAGGTATTTCGATATTCAAGGTAAGAACCTACGGCTCTAGCATGTACATGCTACATAGAGAATGTCCCTGGTTATACTTAGAAAAGTCCTCTATGGGGTCTAGGCTTTCAGTACTTAATACTCTATACTTCGTAGCTAGTACTAGCAAAGGGGAAAATATAAAAAAAAAGAGATAGAGATTTCATCTAAAAGCACTACTGGAAAGTACCAGAACGGACACGACAAGGCCGGTTATGGAGTCAATAGCATAGTCTTGTATCCATCGAATCCCAAATCACTGAGTAAAATTGCAATATAACCATTTATCCAAATTCTAATGAATCTGCTCGGCCCGTCCATTACAGCGCATCGTGTCCATGTGTCTCAAAAGGCAACCCCAGACACATCACGCCAACAACAATCCACAATGCTGCACTCGCATAGATTGGTGCAGTCGTGAAGCCGGTCTGGGAAGAGATAAGACTAGCAATGAGCCCTCCGAATCGAAGAAGTGCAGCCGCCGTTCCAGAACCAGTGCCACGATGAGGAGCCGGGAAGGACTCCGGAGTAAACGCGTACATTATAGCGTATTCTGCAATACTGATTAGCTATGAAATGACACATCTGACTTAATGGCACCCTCACCGAAATTCCCTAGAAGGCTGGTAATACAAGAAAATGCTAAATCAGCCGATGGACTGTTGACGCCGACATATGCAAAGAGGAACACGCCTGTGACCGCGGCTGAAATTGCCATCATCCATCTTCTGCCCATGCGTGTGTTTACTGATACAGCGGCTGATAATGGTCCGATTATTCCAACAGCTGAGGTGATGCAGTAGTTGCGATATGTCAGGGAGAGAGAAGATGTTTCTGTGAATTTGGTTGCTAGGTAGGATGGCAAGAAGGCGAAAAACAGTGGGTATGCAATCCCTGAATGTGAGTGTGAGTAGATATATTGCAACAACAAGCTAAGCCTCTCACTTACCAACTGTCAACCAAATGGCCCAGATAATCAACGTCTGTCTTCCAAGCTTTCGAGTGGCAAATAATGCACGGTAATGCTCCCCTCGGAAGGCTTGCATGTTCTCGTTCACGATCTCCTTTGTTGACATTCGCTTAGACTCCCCTTCTTCGCTTGGGGCATTTCCAAATCGAGCATCGATTTCTTGCAGCATCTCAAGTGTCAGGGGCTCTGGCTTGCCATTTTGCTTGGCAACGTAATTTATCGCGTTGACCGCATCCTGATCTCTTCCCTGGGAGAGGAGATATCTGGGGGTTTCGGGGAGTTTGAAAGTGAAAATACGAAGGAAGGTAAAGGCAAGGGCTAAAGCACCTAGAGTGATGAGTGTGTATCTCCTAGTGAGTAACCATTAGCGTGGAAATGCATTGTAGGAGTTTTGACTCTTACCATCCCATGTTCTGACTCCGAGAACATGTTTCTGGGGTGGCATCAGTCGGACAACTGAAGTGGGCAAGGAATACCCAAGAAATCAATGACACAATCAGTTGGCTCAGATTCCACCATGCAGATAGAGCCGTGAGAAGATACTGATGACTAGGAGGATTAGTGTTAGCAACGATCAATATTAATATCGCCAACCACGTGTTTTCTCACCTTCCTGGAACAAATTCTAGGAAAATCATTGAATCAACAGGCACATTTCCACCAGCAGCGGTTCCAATCACTGCCCAAAGTGCACTGAATGCGAGAAAATTCATCGACCCAGCAACGGCACACAGAAAAATACCAGCAATGAGTAGCGTAGAATTGAAAGCTGGCTTGCGCCCGATGAGATCACTCGACAGACCCCAAAACGAAGCACCCAAAATGAGGCCAACATAGTACGCAACGGAGCTGTAGCTGACTTGCACGATGCCGGAAAACTCTTGCTTAATAGGAGGTTGGACACTTCCAATGCCCTGGGATGCAAACTATTTGAAATAGACGTTAGGAAGGGGGATTGTCAGGAGAAAAGGAGTGATATTGCGTACATTATCCACTATCCATCCAAAACCGGTAACCACGAAGAGTTTCCATTGGAACCTGGCAGTGTCAATGTCTCGATGCCGTAAAGCTCTGCTTAAGATTGGAGAGGCGTGCATACCAGCCCATCCCAATTTCCTCCATGCATTTTCCGACTAACTCAGACTTCAAGCGGTACGCCTTGGTGGTGGAGGATCCGTAGAAATCTTCAACTTCATAATCATCAATAGTCGTTAATTTAGCGGCCCCATAGTCCGGAGTGCTGCTCTCTGCTGGCTGAATATGCTTCTTGTCGACTTGGATTTCGTCCATCTTGCAATTACTAATTGAGTGAAAAATTGCTTGCTCTCATAGCAGACAGATCCGGGTTACATGGTTGTCCTTTTTAGGGCTACGATGCCTCTGTCAATCGATCATGTTCGTAGATAGTGCGTACAATTGAGATTGATACGGATGAATAAGGCTACCAAGAGTGGAGAGAGAGAGAAATGTGCCATCCCACTCTTGCGCGTGGCACGTTTGGGATCTATGATATCCCAACGGTTTAGACCAGGCCGAGACCTACTTTGTGGCTTTCTACACTTGGCGCTATTAGGCGTGTAGATCGATTGAGACAACCAATCAGACATGCGTATTTAGTCCTACTTTTTGTTCTGTCGTGTAGACTATGTTGAACGGAAACAATATTGCATTGGCCATATTCTGTATTACTTGTGTGGTTTGGCTTTTCTCAACTCGGGGCATCACATACATAGAGAGAGTTCAATGAATTGGGATATGAGCAACGCTAAGCACCGACCGCAGCAACGACAGGAATGGCATCCTCCTTCTGTAATCCTAAATCCTTCTTGAATTCCTCGGCGCGGCCATAGCTCTCCTTGTAAGATGCCGTCACCATGTCCTGGACAGTAATCGGAGCGTACTTGGCAGATTCACCCTCTTCGCGACAGTTAGGCAAGCACTCGCAGATATAATCTGGATTTCCGCTGAAAAAGAATGGAATCGAGTATCTCTCTTGACCTGATTTGTTGATCACACGATGGATGTTGGATTTATATTTATCGTTCGCCATGCGCATGAAGAGGTTACCCAAGTTTACCACATATGCCCCAGGAACGGGTTTGACCTATGGATCCTCGTCAGAGTCAAGATTAAGCAACTATTTCCGTTGGAACTCACATCCAGCCATTGTCCAGATGGCGCGTCTAGCACCTGCAACCCGTCGACCTCATCCTGTAGGAGGAGAGTGATGCATCCGAAGTCGGTGTGCGCTCCGATGCCGCGATTCAATCTCTCATCGGTGTCGTGTGGCTGCGCGGGATAGTGTAGGTATCTCATTGTCGCGACAGCTCCGTCTGTGAGAGGGTCGAAGAATGTCGATTCAACTCCCAATGTTTGAGCCAGAACTCCTAGAACGTCCTTTGCCAGGTCGAATACCGCGTGGTAATATTCCATGGTTGTTTCTTTGAATTCCTCCTTCCTGGGAACGGTAGGCGGCCATTGGTTGGGGCCGCTGTTCAACTTCTTCTCCAAATAGTAGGGGTGGTCTTCGGGGATTTCCTCGCCGATGTAAAGGCCTTCTTTTAGCTCCGGGCCGGTGCCCACTTCCAGCATTTGCGATCGGAGGAGCTCATAGCCTCTGTTGAACGTGTTGAGATCTATTCAATTAGCAGAATTCACGACGAGTGGGTGTGGATCTAACTCTTGTCAACTTTCAATTTCTCTTCCAGAGGGAGATCAAAGAAACGCTTGGAGCAATCCACGACGCGTCGCTGCAACTCCAGTGGGACGCGGTGGCCGGTGATCTGGAAAAAGCCATTATAATGGCAACATTTGCGCACCTCATCGATTAGCTTGGATTTCGCGTCGCTGTCTTTTCCATAGAATGGAGAGAAATCCAAGATAGGTGGAGCCGCAGGTAGAGACATTTTGTTGAATGAGATGAAGAGTTGTGCTGGTGTTTGCTTATGCAGATCGCGTTGCCTTCAATATATTTCCGCAGAATTGAAAAAGGCACCCAAAGACAATTCAACCTCGCACAGAAGTCCGACATCTTGCCTCGAGCTATTCCAGCTCTACTTGTTGGCTCTAGCGTGTGCCATAAAGGATGGGGGTAGGGACAAGGATGCTGCTCCCAAGAATGGGGGGCAACGGTTATTTGGCTGCGATAAGGGGGTGCGGGGAAGACATGGGGATAACGAAGAACAAAAGTACAAGCCATATCCTATCTGGACAATCTGGAGATACCGCGATTTGCCATTTGGTTGGACATGGCTTGTTGTACTAGTTAGTACTACGTAGGTGAATGTGAAAGTCAGGAGGTTGGAATGCTATATGACGGAGAAGTTGAGTATAAGAACCCTGTCAGTTAACCCCAGCGCTAAAGATTTGAGAATTAGTGGTTTGAATAACACATTATGATATCTGAATTAAAAACAACTGCAATGGCCAAGGTGCCCGACCCCGGAGCAAATGTCGGCGAAACCACAACGTATACAGACCCCGAGGCCGAAAGGTCCTATGTCAGGAAAGTCGATTTCATTGTGCTTCCGACACTCTGTTTGGTAAGTCATCTAGCACGGGAAACGTAGTTATTTGAAACAACTGCTAACTTCAGGGCTTGTTTCATCACACAGATGTACTTTTTCGACTGCATGGATCGGGTGAGTGATTGGACAACGACATTGACCTGTGAAATTATGATAACAATTAGCCCAGAGCAACTTGTCAAATGCAAAGACAGATGGTCTTGAGAAGGACTTACTTCTGAAGGGAAATGACTATTCTTTATTGATTCTTCTCTTCTATATCCCGTTTGGGCTGTTTGACCTGCCATGGAATCTTTTAATTAAGAGATTTTCAGGCAGAGTCATGCTATCTTTCAGTGAGACCCTTCAACACTTTGAGACTTTGGTTCGCGTCGCTGATATATATATGATAGTGTCCATTGTGTGGGGAGTGTTAGCACTCTGCCAATGCGCCGCTAAGGACTTCGGCTCTCTACTTGCAATTCGCATCATATTGGGTGTTTTTGAAGCAGGTTTCTTTGCCGGAGCTACCTTCTACCTAACGTTGTTCTATACGCGTGGAGAAATGGGCTTCCGCCTGGCTATCATGCAGTCATTTGCAGTTTTAGCTTCTGCCTTCAGTGGACTTATCTCTTTTGGGGCGTTCCAGATAAACCACCCCACAGTCAAAGGATGGCAGTGGTTGTTTATCATCGAAGGATCGATGACACTAATTACTGGAGCTGTGGCATTTTTCCTGCTACCAGATGGGGTACAGAAAGCCTGGTTTTTGACTGACAGGGAGAGGGCGGCAGCGACAGGACGTCTGCTTCGGGATACCTCGTCGGAAGTAAATACGCCATTCAATCTCAAGGCTTGCTTTGAGTCATGGAACGACTGGAAATTCCCAGTGTGGTGTCTGATTACGTTCACATACCCTGTTGCCTATGCCACTGCAATGAATTTCTTTCCGTTGGTGAGTATCGAGTCCCATACTTTGAAGTTGGCTAACAATTGCAGATTGTCCAAAGGCTGGGATACTCTGTCATCAAGACTAATCTCTGGACGGTGGCACCAAACCTCGTTGGAACAGTATTCCTGCTATGCGTGGCCAAGTCATCCGACTATTTCCGGGAGAGAACCCTCCATATCGCCTTTTCTTTGACAGTTTCATTGGTCGGAATGATTATATTAATTACCATTGACGTCCAGAATAACAAGGGAGTAGCATACTTCGCTTGTTTCCTGATGGCAGCAGGATCATATATTCCGTCCTGCCTCGTTCATGCGTGGCACAACAATAACAACGTACATGAAAACTCCCGAGCTGCCAATACGGGTTTTTTTGTAGGACTGGGAAATATCGCTGGAGTATTGAGCGCGGGCACATTCCGAACTCAATATGCACCAAAGTGAGAGACTCCGCTGTTGTGTGACGAGCTGTCGCTGACTGAATAGGTATCTGCCAACTCTAATTGCAACTTGCTGTTGCAATGCAGTCTGCATTTTCCTTGTCCTTGGATTAGGCGGCTGGATGCGCATGGAGAATCATCGCCGAGATAGCAAACAGGGACTAAGACTGAGAGAGGATCAGACTGATACTAGTCAGTTCAAGGAGGGTGAAAAGAGTCCAGAGTGGAGGTACTTCCCTTGATATTTCCAGGTTGTCTATGACATCGTAAAGTAGCCTTACCTGGGACGAATGTATGTTTGCAGTCAATTTATTATAACTTTTGGGTTGGTGCAGTTCAACTGTCACTGGGTATATTTTTCCCATTCCTAGATGTACTTATATAACCAATTGATGTCTTACAATATAAACAAATCTGTGGATGACATCTAAAAATATATCTAAGGAGAGCGTCCAAAAGGGGAAATCGTAAGTATTATCTTACCCCCCTAATATTACTTTGAGCCAAAAGTCAGATCATCGAAGTCTATTTGGAGAACATCCGAACATCCCAATCCCTCGAAGTCTACTGAGTAAATGGCTAACACTTCGATTGGCAATCAATACTCTCGATAAGAGATTTGCATATCTCATCAAAATCATACCAATCAGCGTCTAGCGTGATGCTCTCCCCGCGTTCTTATCAGTAGACTTCGGTGTTTATTCCGAGTAAATTGTTGTCGAGGACACTAAAGTAGGCGGCCAACCCTCGTTTGCCACATGGGGTAACTCAACCATGAAAACACAGGAAAAGCACGCGTGTCAATACCCAGATTGCAACAAGAGCTTCACGCGCGCAGAGCACCTTCGCCGCCATGCGCTCAACCACGAGCAGCCGCGCAATGGGTATACCTGCGAGCGTTGCTCTGTTCACTTTCAACGCTCGGATCTGCTAGGTAAGATAAAAGGATCGGGTTAGTTGTTGATCAGCTGCTGATGGATCCAGCGCGACATATGGAGCGACACCAGAAACGGGACCTTGAAGCTGGAGGGCCCGGGCAGGGGACATTGAAGACGCGAAAAAGGACGCGGAGAGCTGAGGACGGTTCTATTATTGTGCGCCCTTCACAAAGGCAAATGAGGGCTGCCGCTGCAGCTCGATCCCCTATATCGGCAAATAGTTCCAGTCAAGAGCCAGAACCGAGAGACGAGGAAGACTATTTTCACGATGATGTCCCCTTGTCACCACCCGGCTCGGGCACTGACCCAGCGTCGATGTCTATGGACGATACTGATCCTTTCCTGGCTTCGCTGGTACCGGCTGGGCCTTTTGAACCGTATGTTGAGCCAATCCCTGGACAGTTTGATGCAGCGGATGGGTCTTTCGGTGTTGAGTTGGATGGGATTGGGGATTATTTTGGAATGGACACTGGTATGGACGACTCCCGCCAATCGCTCGTAATTCGCATGCTGACCTCCGTAGCAACCGACTTCAATCTACCATTTGCAGCTACGTCTAATTACAATTGGCTCTTCGATGTCTCCTCGCTCGACGATGCTTTCCATAAATTCAACCTCCCTCTAGGGTTTGAGACATCCGAAATCTTGGAACAATTCCATTCGAATCCCCCGGAAGTAATGGAGAAATACGATGGTCCATCAGCCTTGCTCATGGCATCAATCATGGACAGAGGCGAAACATTCGGGGAAACCACCTCACCTGACCTACCCAGTATCCCGGACCTCGACTGGATGTCTGGTGCGGCGGCGTTGGACGCTAACCCTCGAAAGACTCTACCTATAATATCCGAAGAAGCGCGAAAGGGAATTCTAGCACTGGTTGCACACGCACATCCGACAGGCATTGACGGGCAACCCATGGTACTTGACTCGCCGCTCCTGACACTCCCTGCGCTCCAGTCATACTCCGATATGTTCTTCGATCGGTTCAACACCACGTACCCTCTGATTTACCAGCATACATTTGATCCAAACACTGCGCCACCAGTATTCCTCGCCTCGATTCTCTTCATGGGTGCGACATACGGCACACGCGAGGCCCACCAATTGGCAGTGGAGGTCCACGATGTCCTTCGCAGCCAGCTGCTCTGCCATCCAGATTTCTCACCGCAAGCTGATCTTTGGGTCTTGCAGACAATGCTTCTGATAGATTGCTTCGGCAAAATGCGAGCTGGCCCCAAACAGCGCGAGCGCGCACAGCTGTTCCATTGCGTTTTGATCAAAATGATCAGGCGCAGCAACTGCTGTGGCATACGTGACTTGCCTAACGTCAATCAGTCAGGGGATTTGGATCAACTCTGGCGACAGGCTATGGAGGACGAACAGCGCAAGAGAGTGGCGATACATTGCTTTATGTGGGATACGCAGCACGCAGTCCTATTTTCGCAGTCGCTGTGTATGTCTGCATTCGAGATCAGATCTTCACTACCGTGTAGTGCTGCGGCGTGGGATGCCTCCTCTGCTCGAGAGTGGGCCCAACATGCCTTCCGTGAAGAGAATCGGCCGTTCCTCACTGTTCTGAAAGGATACATCACACCGGCAGCTGTTTCCCGACCTCGAGATCTGAATGTATTTGCCCGAATTGTTGTACTGCATGGCTTAATGTCTGTTTCAGCGGACCTGAAACGTCGCGATCAAACAACCCTACGGTCGGAGACACCTGAACGTGTCGGAGCTTGGACGCCGCGGATGGGTCGGTCCTATGATCTGTGGAAAGTCGATTTCGATGCAGATTGCCTTGCTATTAAACTCGCTCAGACCGCTAGCCCGCGGCAGTTCACGGGGTTTAAGATCTCCGGATATGCCCTTTACCATGCAGCGTATCTCGCGTTGAATGTCGAGGTCCTCGATTTGCAGATCGTCGCTGGCGCATGTCAGATACTAGGACGTACAGTGACTGAGGCTGATCAGGCACGGTCGCTGCAGAACATTACCAGATGGCTACAGGAGGAATCCGGGCCATCCTGTACGACTGCGCGACAAGCTGCATCTTTACTTCAGGACGCAGTGTTGAGTCTGCATGACTGGGACCAGGCTGATTCCTTCCACTTCCCCTGGTGTTTATATCTATGCACATTAGCCTGTTGGGTTTTCCATCGTGGGCCCAATCTCAACTCCGATGAGAACCGGATCAACACCGATCTGTCTTCATTGATCGTGATGCTAACTAATTGTCCCAGCTTACCAGAGCTAGCGGGTATATCTGGAAAATATTGTCCTCGCCCTCTAGCAGCGGCGATGGCTAATCAGCTAGCGACAGTCCGATGGGCCGTTGTTCACGATGCTATGAAAGTTTTGATGAGATTGTCATGATAGTATTTGTATTTTATAGTCAATATGTAGTTTACCCAATCCCGACATGTTGATCTGAACAAGCAGGTCTATGTAGATCCATATCTATTTGCTATAGAAAGGATAATCGGTATAACCCTTTTCGGCCGGATCAGCACCATAGAATGTGGTGCGATCATAAGGAGTCAAAGGCAACCCCTCCTTCAACCGACGCGGCAGATCAGGGTTCGAGATGAAATAACGACCAAACACAACGGCATCTGCTCCACCAGTGGCAAGCTTAGCACCGGCATTCTCAGCGTTGAAGTTCCCAGCCGCCAGCAAGGAGATACCTCCCTTCTTCAGCGTCGGCCGGAACACATCCAAGGACGGCTTATCCGAAGCCAAAGAGTCAATCTTAGATGCTTCATCCATCACCTCGTCGAACCGGGGCTCGACCATGTGCACATATGCAGGTCGTGACTCCTCCGGTAGTGTGGCAATCTGCGAACACAGCGCGAGCCAGTTCGTGTTTGGGTTGGAATCCCGTGTATCCTGGAAATAATTGTATGGGGAGAGGCGGATGCCGACGCGGTCGGCTCCGATTTCGGCGCTCACGGCCTCGAGGACTTCGATGATGATCCGAGATCGCCTTTCGATGCTGCCGCCGTACTCGTCAGTGCGGGTGTTGACGTTATCGTGGAGGAATTGGTCAAGCAGATAACCATTGGCACCTGGTTTATTAGTTAGACACGGCGGGTAGAAAGGCTGGAGGGCTGTTACCGTGAACCTCGACTCCGTCAAATCCGGCCTCGCGCGCTCGCTTTGCCGCAGCAACATACTCCTGCACTGTATCTTGGATTTCCTCGACAGTCATGGCCCGAGGTGGCGAAGCTGCATACTCAGATCCATCCAGTGCGTTTCCGCTGATTGGGATCTCACTGGCTCCAAGAACTTCCTTTCCTTCAATAAAAGAGGAAACAGTCGCGCGGCCAACATGCCACAACTGACAGTATATGTAGCCACCCTTAGCATGAACAGCATCGGTAACCTTCTTCCAGCCAGCGATCTGCGAGGAAGTAAAGATGCCAGGGACTCCCGGGTATCCAGCAGCCTGAAAGTATTAGTTTTGAAAGCCAATCAAACTGCTCAAATGCATAAAGTCCCACGTACATATCTGCTAATCGGAGTCGCCTCGGTCAGCATAAACCCTCCCTCCGAAGCTCGCTGCGCATAGTACTCGACATTAAGCTCATTCGGGACATAAACACCCTCGGACTCCTTGCCCGCTCTCATCCGCGTCAACGGTGCCAAAATGATGCGGTGCTTGAGAGTTAGAGCTCCCAATCGGACGGATTCAAACAAAGGATCGGTGATTGCGATTGAGCCCATTTTGCAAGGATATATTTACTTTTCGATTGGCAGCCCATTTTGGCTTTGCCTACGGTGATATATATAGCTTCGGGTGGCAATGGTATGCCATTTTTGGCGTTTCCATTTTTTTGGGTTATCCATTGAAGGTGGGATTGGTTGATCAGCTTGAACAGTGGGATGAAGATTGAGGGTTGAGGGTGATCGGCTCAGGGCTATCAAGGGAGACAACCCCCACTATAAAAGCTCCCCCACCCTCGAACGTGCCTCCACTTCCCTTTTGGGATGAATATCTTGTCGATCACGAGAATTTTACGATTGAATGGCTAATTCCTTGCTTCCGCACTGTTTACGATATCTAGGTTGCCTATTGGTATGCAAGTGAAGCAATAGGCATTTTGCCCGCACTCTCTGAAATAAATATATTGATGTTGAACGAATGGATAAATTCCAAGCGCACGATTCCAATGAAATCAATCCAATATTACACCATGAAAGAAAAATAATCCTGCAGCCACTGCCCTATGACACCCACTTGTTCATCGTCCCAAGTATCAATAGCCCCAACATATCCGTCGGGCCTCACGACAGCGATACCAATCCTCTCCCTATTCAAATCCCCGAACCACTTCTCAGTACAACTCAGCCCTCCAACATTGTCGACATATAAAGTCCACCGACTAGCTTGCAGTATATCCGGTAGATCGGCAATTTCAAACTCAGACTGAGCAGACTGCGTGACCATCGCACAAGTAAAAGCATTGGAGACAGCGGTGTAGCGCTGAGCCTGAACAAAGGCATCCGTGGGAGAATGCCCCCTCGGATGCTTCTCATATGACTGAGCTGCTCGCACACTCACATCCGCAAGAATGTATTGCAACTGTTGGCAAATATTGCCTAACGATGGCAGCGAGCGGGAAACATCCGGGACGAAAATATAGATCTTGAATTGACCCAGCAGCGGAATATCCAACTGAATATCGACCGGATTGGCATCAATATAGCGAGTGACTTTAGCTGGTAGTTGGAGCATTCCAGGTTGTAGACGAGACTTGGTGGCTGGCGCTTGTGTCAACATTCCTGGAGCATATTCGGCTCCAACGCCGGATATGAATCGAATGTTGTCGTCGAAGTTCTTGGCCAGTGCTGCGTCGCCTGCTGTGAACGCTTTGCAGTGCTCAAAGTCAAAATTTATGAGGTCATATGCAATCTTTTGTCTTTCTTCTTCGTAGGTATGGAGTAAGGTTGGCTTGGCAAGTCTTCGGACTAAAAGGTTGAGCTTCCATGCGAGGTTGAAGCTGTCGTGCATACTTGTGTTGGCACCTTGAGCTGCAAGAGCTGAGTGACAGTGGCCGGCCTGTGTATCGGTTAGTTTAGGGATAAGATGAGTTCCAAACGGAGTTCAGCATACATCACCTGCAATGAATATCTTCGCCTCTGAATCCATGAAGCGTTTCGCAACCCGTTGGCCCACAACATATGTTCCGAACCATTCCACTGTCTTCCACTCTAGCTTGAATGGATGCATTGCCTCCCTGGCTCGACCCATGACATATTCAGTCGTAGCTTTTGACTTTTCCACTCGCTCTCCATCGGTGGAACTCAACTCAACATATAATCGAGTCATGCCTTTCTCCCGTGGAATCCACAAGATCGACCCAGCGGAATGAGACCGTACCGCAACCTTGCTCCATAGATCAGGGAAGCTGGTATCGATCACGCCTACTCAGTTAGCTAGATATCCTCCGAATTTGAGGCGAGGACATACCATCTAGCACTCCCCAAGCTGCGTTTGTTAATTCTCCCTCAAGGTCAGCATCCGGAATGAAAGATCTAACTTTGGATCGAGCGCCATCACATCCAACCAGGTAATCGGCTCTGATCTTTCGAGGAGTATTTGTAGTAACATCCTCATATACAATGTCCAATTGGGTCGTTCCATCCACGCGCGAACAGGAGACGAACTTGCTATCCCGTGTGACAAACACACCCCGTGCCTCCATATCATCGATTATGACCTCCTCAAGCATTCCCTGGTGGGCTAGTAGGATATATGGATCGGAGGCACCGACATGCTCGGGGTAGTGAGTTTTGCGACCAGTGCGCTTCAGTGACTCGTTGGCGGTCGACTCCTGTTAGTTTGTTAGTCGGACCTAGGAGGAGCAATCGACTCAGAACATACCCAGAAGGAAATATCGTAAACCCGAGCTCCATTTTTCAGCAATGGATCCGCCAACCCAAGTTGTCTGAATGTCTCGATGGTCTTGGGTTGCATTCCATCAGCCTTCCCTGTGGATGTCTTGTCGGGACGATCGTCCAGAATCACCACCGGGATTCCAAAACGAACAAGATTACATCTTCCAAGTCGTCAGTATCCGGTCAATTGAAAAGGGCGAACTGACATACGCTAGCATCAACCCCGAGGGTCCCGCCCCCACCACCACAACGGTAGTGGAAGCATCGACAGCGCCAATTCTGTAGCCTTCGTGGTCTGCACTCGGTGACATTATGAAATTCAATTTGTCGATTGACGAAGCTCTTAATTCCTTTCTATCTTCTCTATTTATTCAAATTGATGCTGCGGGGAAACCCCCACTCTTCGTGTTTATCACCATCGTGTCACCCCACCGTCCACAGCAATGTCCGACCCGGTCATGTACGAGCTCGCGTCGCTGGCGAGGAATACGCACGCCCCCATGATATCTTCCGGTTCGGCAATTCGGCCGTTCATAGCTTCGGATTTCCAGCCGTCGAGGAGATGGGGGAACTGGCACTTAGCGCATGATTTGGAAACTGTGTTCTAGGGCGAACTTACTGAGGCCGTCATTTCTGTCTTCACGTATCCAGGAGAGATTGAATTGACTCGGATACCCTATTATGCTCAATTAGTGTCCTCCGTCGCAAAGGTATCTGCGACCAACTAACATATTCGGCCAGTTCTTTAGCGATCGCCGGACACATCGATCTCACTGCGCCCTTCGTACCACAATAAGCCGAACATAGCTGGCTGCGTACAGCAATATGGCTTGCCATACTGGCAACTAAGATTATGCTGCCGTGCTTTGTCTTGTTCGCGACCATTTGCTTGGCTGCAAGCTGGGCAGTGAAGTAAAGTCCGAGCACGTTGATAGATAGTAGATCCTGATGATCCTTGTAGGTAAACTCGAGAAACGGGCGATGCCGATTAATACCGGCACATGGAACACAAATATCAAGAGCATTGTCAAAATCCTTCTGGAAGCTGGCGAAGCCTTCTTGCAAAGATTCCTGGGATGAGACATCGACTCTGATGCTGTTAGCGCTGGGAAAACTCCTATGAATAGCCCACTCACTTGTAATACGCCGTTCGGACACCGCAGTCCTTCTCAATCGCATAGAATCCTTCGTCTGGTGAAACGACATCGAACACAGCTACATTAGCCCCGGCCTCGGCGAGTCCCCGCACAAATGCTAGCCCGCAACCCCGGGCACCTCCCGTCACCAGTGCCATCCGCCCTTTCAAAGAAAACTTCCTCAGTTAGCTCCCATCTCCAAGAAAAAGGGTAGAAAGACTTACTCTCGACATATCGTAGTGTAGTTGAATACAGTCTTGCTGTGTCGTGGGTTCCTTCCGACATTCCTGCCTTTTAAGCTATCGGATAGCGATATCACCAGACAAAGCTAACCCCCATCTTTGTCCATAGTTGGACTCGAGTCCAGTAAAGATGGAGTGACAATGTTCTATGTGCCTATCTATCATAAGTAGTCCTGTTTCACAGAAGACCGGACGGTATTCAACAATCGAAATATCCCGCATCTGGGTTCTGTTACACATCCGTCACAATGGCCCCTCAAATCCACGTGAAACAGCAAGACACCCGGTGCTCGTCATGCCGACTGAAAGTTATTATCGTCGGTGCAGGCCTCGCAGGTCTTGGGTCTGCGATCAGTTGTGCGCTTGCTGGGCACGAAGTCCAGGTCCTCGAGGCGACGCGGGAAATCAAAGAGGTCGGCGCAGGTATCCAGATTCTGCCCAACAGCTCGCGCGTACTCCAACATTGGGATCTCGAAAAAGCTTTGGCGCCGCATATGACCATTCCCCGCGTTTGCAATTTTCTTGGATGGAAGGGAAATCTCATTTCGTCTTTAGACTTTCACGCGTCGGAGAGCAATTACCCGGGCACTTGGTATCGTGACTTCCACCGCGCGGACCTACAGCAATGTCTGGTTGAGAGAGCGCTCGAGTTGGGAGTTAATATTACGTGCAGTGCTCGTGTGGTGGATGTTACTGTGAGCGAGGATGGCACCACAGCTAGAGCTACCGCGGGGGATGGGAGACAATGGGTTGGAGATCTTGCCATTGGGGCGGATGGAGTGTTTGGGAAATTGACGGACGGATTATTGGGCCGAGTGGATCCACCGGTGAAGACTGGTGATCTTGCATATCGTTTGCTGTTATCGACAGAGGAGATGCGGAAGGACCCTGACCTTGCCGACTTGGTAACAGACCCTCAGGTCAACTACTGGTTAGGTCCAGACGCTCATGCAGGTATGCGATTCTCTTCATGATATGGTTTTGATTGCTAATTGCTAATTGTGTAGTGAACTATGTCCTTCGCGGCGGAAAGTTGTTTAATATGGTACTGCTTGTCCCCGACGATATCCCAGAGGAATCTTTAGCATCAACGATCGAAGGCAATGTGGAGGAGATGTGTGCTTTGTTCAAAGACTGGGATCCTCGGTGATTATATATTTTAGCTCAACCGTAATCAGCCGCTGACCTCAACAGTATCCCCAAGCTCTTGAAGCTCTGCGAGTCTGTCCAGAAATGGCGTCTCTGCATTCGATTCGGAGACTTTGACTGGACCCATCCCTCCGGGGCATTTGTGATGTTGGGCGATGCAGTTCACGCTACATTGCCGTATTTGGCCTCAGGGTATGATAGTCTTTATCGCTAGGCTTCACACATTCTAACGATCACAGTGCTGGAATGTCCTTCGAGGATGGAGCAGTTCTCGGCGAATGCCTCTCTCGACTGCCGAATAGTCCCAACATCTCCAAGACCTCGGCTGACTTTCTGGCTGCCAAACAACACGCCCTTGCCATCTTCCAGGAATGTCGCAAGCAGCGAACAAATATGGTTGTCGAGCGGGGAAATATTCAACAATACCTCTACCACCTGCACGATGGCGCTGAGCAGGAAGAAAGAGATCGCAAGATGCAGATGGTCCCAACTCCCGAGGGAGAAGCATTGGCTTGGCGAGACCCCGGTTTGGCACCTAAATTGTTGGGATATGATCATATCGCAGATGTACGTGTTCGTTTCACTCACTCCGAACTTCACTAACTCTGACTAGGTCGATCGTCGGTGGGGTAAATTACTAGGAACTAGCACTGTTGAGTCAAGATTGTAGTTTGAAAGCACACATTTCCGCTTAGTTATCGCCTACCATACTTGTTTCCTTCCTTGTTATTCTGCGTTACAAGTGGAGCTATCTGCCCTGGAAAGATATTAAAGACTTTGCATTAAAAGCACTTTAGACATATGTGTCGTCGGAAAATGACGGATAGAATGCAGAGAGGTAATTCAACTGATAGTGCAAGCGCCCTGCTATTGAAGGGACGGAACGAAGTGGAATGATCTATGCCAGATTTGATATGAGGCACAGGCAAGTCAGGAGCAGGAGGAAATTGGACCATGGCAGTCAATGAAGTTTGTTGAAGTATTCGATGGTAGCCTGCATATCCAGGCTAGGTCCAGGGTATGCAGCCCTAGTTGATCCTAAATGCTTTGCAAGACTGCTTGCACTGCAAGACACGGCTTCATTCTCAACAACAAATGCCCTCCAAGGCCGTTCCAAGTACTGGGATTACGGCTTGCTGGAAGGTTTTTCATCCCCACCCAACACGAACGATCTCAGGATTGGCGTGGTGTAGTGTTTGATTTGAATTTCTGCCAGCCGAGAATAGTTCAGATACAATGGTCTACATTCACCTTGTAGGATATGTGGGTGTCAAGTACTGCTAAGATATGCCTCATAGCTCTATATTTCCTAAGGAATAGGAGTGCTTTTAGTGCTTCTAGTGATGTTTCTAGAGGTCCTTTCTAATGGCATCTCTTGGAAGCGGCTTGAAGAGTGCCAGACCCCTTCCCCATTTAACTAGGCAGGCGTCGCATAGGCACCTTCCTTATCTGACACTTTCCATCTTCTCTTATCTCCCATCTGAGCTCTTATTTCTTCTCTTCCTTTCTGCTCTCCCCTCTTTCTTTTACCGTTTTCACTTTCTTCATCCCGAAAAGAAGCAACTAGTGAAAGCATTCAACGTATCATTGCTCATCAAGTACACCCGACGATACCGCATCTACATTACCGTCGGATGTGTTGTGTACGTGATCGGCCTAGCAATACCTTCTCGAGGATCGAGGATCTATCAGTGATTGTCCTCAGTTGTTCCTCGTAATCGGGGTTGGTAATAACAACGGGGGCAACCCATTCAGCACCTCGAGGTTGGAAGAAAACCGGGTCGGAGGGATCGGCATTTGGGGGATGAAGGTGTTTCATGTTTCCCATCGTCGTCTAGGCGAAGTATTTCAACTTCGATGCCAAGGAACTCGTAAGAGGCTGGGTCAATGTGGGTAGAGCTGTGACTTTCGACCCGGTTGTAGACTCCGTCGATAGCCCTAATGGCTTGTTGACGGGCTGCGATCCGTTCGCGCGCACGAGGCGTCCACGTGAAGTTGGTAGGCATGATGATTAAACCGGGGCCGTGTCTAAAAGGAAAATTGAAGTTGGTTCAAGAATCCAGGAGTGTTGAGGTTTGGGGTCAACAATGACCAGGTGAAGTGTAACCTATGCCTCGTGAACGTGCACGGCAACTTAAGGCCAGGCTCGGCTCGGTGCGACCTTGCCCTTGGGTTTGCCAATACCTGCCTTTTTATTACAGGTCTCTCTTTCTCCAATATTAAGTTAAGATCATTTATTTCATGTCCTTCGTCAATACATAGGTAGCTGCCATTCTAAAACGCGAAAAGGTCTGTAACAAGTCCGAAAGACTAAACCACGGGATCGTATATTCATAGGCGGAGTTTATGATTTACATCCTCTTGGCTTTTGGGTCTGTCTATAAAATTTCCCATCCCTTTGTAAGCTACGTAGCCTATCACAGATACCCATGGATGCATCTTGCCCAGGTGGTTTCTCTGAATTATTGCTTCATAGAGATCTAAACGGCATCCGAACCGGGATCTCAAACGGGATCGAAACAGTATCGCAGACGGAGTTTCAAACGGCATCCAGAAAGGCAAAAAGACACGTAAAAACACAAATGAAAAGACACCCGAAGATATATCTTTTCAGGCCCATATGTAGTTAATGCAACGTTTGTAATATCATAGGCCATGAGCCAATGGGATTAGCTTATAACGTCGATATTCCGCCGTGCATTGCTCATGATAAAACACGGAGAAATGGAACGCGAATCAAGATGAAAAGGGCCGGGGAAAGAGCACCGGAAAGCCGCAAGATGGATGATGATCGACAAGATCATCTTACAACAAGGGTAGAATCTTTCGAAACCACTTCCGTACTCTTGCGGGTATATCTAAAGATTATTGAGATCCCGTTCGGTTCTATCTGAGCTTCAAATGTAGTGATGGACAATTGCAGTACAAAATCTTGGCTCTCCGGTTTCTACTCCAAAGGTGACAAAGGCTCTTATTGGGGTAAGCGTTCTAAACGAAAGAAAGGATAGAGGAAACGGAACTACGTACGATACATGTCATGGCATTAACAATCCATAACATCCATGGATGACGCAATATCCTAGCAAGGTATAAAGTGTTGATTGAAGCATCATTTGTGTAATGTGCCTCGTGCCTCGTGCTTGCTTTTATTATTTACTTTTCCTAGGGCATCTCTGAATAGCATCCCAGTCCAAAAGTATGGCACCAGAGATTCACCCCGTTCTAGGGTTTCCGGAGTCAACGCAAACTGTCTCCGTTTCCCTGATTGATTGGTATATTCACTCCCGTCGTCCTTCGATCTCAACCTGTAGGCATGAGCAATACGCTAATTTTCTAAAGTGGTGCTCGCCTAGATCTTCCCGCAGAACACTTCTTATTTCCAAATATAGAAGGCCACGAGCGCCTTCGAGTCCCTTCTTATTCATTTCTAATAACCCACCCATCGAAAGGCCGGGTACTATTTGATCTCTCCCTACGAAAGGACATTCAGAATGTCGCCCTAGCCGTGGCCGATCGCATAAACAATCCAAGTGTGGGATGGAAAGTGTCAGTTCCCCAGGACGTGCCGGATACACTGATCGCGAATGGAATTGAACTACGCGAGATCAAATCTATCTTTTGGTCTCATCAACACTTTGAGCATATAGGCGATCCATGCAAATTTCCGAGCAGCACAGAACTAGTTGTCGGCCCGGGATTCACGGAGGCATATACCCCAGGGTATCCGGATGACCCGGAGTCCCCGGTGAAAGCGGCTGATTTAAAGGGGCGCCGAGTAAATGAACTCGATTTCGATTTCGACAATAGCCGAGAGTCTATTTCTATCGGACGCTTCAAAGCTTTTGACTGGTTTGAAGATGGAAGTTTCTATCTACTAGATGTTCCGGGCCATGCGGCTGGTCATATCTGTGCGTTTGCTCGTGTAAAGCCTGATTCTTTTATCTTAATGGGCGGGGTGAGTGTCGATTGGGGATTCGGATGTTACGATAATGGCACTAACAAACTTCAGGATTGTGCCCATCATCCCGGAGAATTTCGGCCTTCGAAGATTGCTCCCATCCCGAAAGATCTTACTCCTTTGCATGTAGCGGTACATTCGAAACAGGCGACCGTATCCCCCGGGAACATCTCTGAGAAGATCAATAAGGAGTCCGATATCGAACGGGCACCTATCTATAAGCCTGCTGAAATGTTTACTTACGAAATGCCAAGACACAAGTGGAGTCTCCAAGGTATCCAAGAACTTGACGCCTGTGAAAATGTGCTTGTGATAATAGCCCATGATGGCGGGATTCTTCCTGTACTCCAACAGGCGAATGGGAAAGAACCGTCCTACCTTTTCCCGAGGGGGGAATTGAACGAATGGCAAGATAATGGAATCAAGGAGGCTATTAAGTGGCAGTTCTTGTCTGATCTAGCAGTTCGTTCTTGAACTCACAACAAGGGAACCTCTGCATTCCTTCAGTGTTTTGCAAAATTGACTCAGTACGGATTGCACCCAGAGTATCTGCACTATAGCTCCAAGGAATTGATCAATGTCATTGGGCTCATCTCATTCCCTTGCTGCACATATATAGTCCAGCTGCTTGCACAGTTAGCACTGTTTGTGCCTGCTATCTGGAGGAACCAGAAGTTCTCGAGGATACTTCAAAGTTGAATTGCGACATCATAGGCGTGTACTCATACACATTTCCTCCTAGATCGACGACAATCGGTGGAGTAAGCCGTTAGGAACTAGCGTTATCGAGCCAAGGCTCTATGGAGGGAGACCCCCATCTTTGACATTTGGGGTGTCAGTATGTATAATCTTATCGTTTGACACATGTAAATCCCCGCTCCCCCATTTTCAATCCCCTCACGATATGCAAGAGTACCACGCTATATAGACGTGATAGCCATAGCACCTCGTAACGTCAATTTGGCTCAAACACATTATCCATCCACAATGTGGCGAATTTTCAGCTCAGGAAGCACGGCAAAAGAAGACCCTCCACGGGGCCTACCGGCGTCATGGTATCACTCAGAGGCAATGTACCAACTAGAGCGACGGGCAATCTTCTCCAAGCGATGGATGCTGCTCACCCACTCCAGCCGTTTCAAGAGACCAGGAGACTATCTCTCTTTCACAATCGCCAACTTCTCCTTTTTCGTCATCCAAGACCGAGACGGCACAATCAACAGCTTCCATAATGTCTGCCGTCACCGCGCATTCCCCGTCGTCCAGTCCCCTTCCGGCACAACGTCCATCCTGAGCTGCAAGTACCATGGATGGTCATACGGCCTGAAGGGCAATCTTGCCAAAGCTCCGCGATTCGAGACAGTACCTGACTTCGATAAAACTCAGCACTCGCTATTCCCAATACATGTGCACATCGACAAAGCTGGCTTCGTGTGGGTCAATCTGCAGGCCGGTGACGCAGACGTGAAATGGACAGATGATTACAAGAAGGTCGATGAGGAGCCTCGGATGCAGGATTTTGATTTTGCAGCCGAGTTCAAATTCGACCATTACTGGGAGATGGAATTGGATGCGAACTGGAAATGTCTTATTGAGAATTATAACGAGTGCTACCATTGCGCTACTTCTCATCCGCTTATTAACGGCGTTTCGGATTTACCAAGATATCGGGTTGAGCCCAAGGCCCGATATATGGAACATCATATCTTCAATAAGGAGGGTTCTGATAGCCAGTTTCGACGGGCCATCACGTACTTCTATCCTACGACTTCTGTTACGGTGACGTGAGTATAAGCCTCCCCTTTGAAGTTAGCGACTGGCTAGGCTAAATGAACTAGTGATAAATTCTTCTATATCCAGCGAATGATTCCTCTGTCTGCCACATCGAGCAAGATCGAGAATGAGGTTTACCGTCACCGGGATGCCACTGATGAAGAATTTGAGAATATCAATGCATTTTACAGGCAGGTACTTGATGAGGACAAGGAGCTTTGCGTTGGAACCCAGGAGAACCTTAGCGCCGGTGTTTTCACCAATGGCGAACTACACCCTAGCAAAGAGAAGGTAGTGGTCCACCATCGGTCTTCTGTTACAGTAGCTAACCGAGAGAGTAGGGGCCCATACACTTCCAAAGTAGCATCAGACAAATGGTCATGGAACATCGTAGAAATGAGGAAAAGCAAGGAGGACCGGAGATTTGGCCAGCCACCCCGACCACCCAGTTGTCGAAGAATGCCGCAGAAGATGAGGACTTTTGCTCCCAGTTGGAGGCGTCAAGTTGTATAGCCAACCAAAAACTGGCGTGGTAGCCAGATACTCAAGGTTTTGGCTCTACTTATATGTACCTGTTAGCTAAATACAAAGGGGAAATTACGACTGTGGCCCGTATCCCAGTCAATTATTGGATATAATTATTCCTACACAATTCCTTACCTTAGAATACCTAGGTAGCAGAAGGAATGCCTGGTTACATATGTAGGTATAGAGAAGATGTTCGGCGCACAATCCACCATTCCGCTCTATAACATAACTCGTTCGTTCTAAGACGCAAGCACGGGAACACACCTAGCACCCAAAAGAAGCTGTCCAGAGAGACCGGAATAATATCACAATCTGCCAAGTGAGGAATACTGCTCCCACTGGATGAGGTATGGACCAAGTCTATTTCTGTTCCTCGCGATGGGATAAGCGCGTTCCATATCCAGAGCGCGCGCTGTCGCACTACTCCCACCAAAGACGTTCACCACCGTCCCCAGTGCGTTTTCCATTGTTCTACGCGGAAATCCAGATGTGAGACGTCTGATTGAGGAATTGGGATACATATGCATAGACCTAAAGTAAATGGGCCAAATGGATGTAACCATGTGAGGGCCTTCCAGACCCATTTATCCGACTCCCAATTTCTGCAATGTTCCAATCTTGTAACCTTGGCCATGGGACATATCGAGAATCTCTAGATACCGAATAGAAGAAAGCACATGCATGACCTATATCATGAATTCGCTAACCAATAATCACCCCCACAAGAAACAATAACCTATCTATTCAACCCAGGCGGGTTATCCCCAGTCTGCCTCTGCCCCCCAAGACTAGAGACACCACTCTTCACGCCCTCTCCAGCGCTCCTCGCCGTATTCCCAACACCCTGTGTTGCGCCTGAGACGGTCTGTCCGAGGCCCGTTGTTGCGTTACCCACCGTTGAGCCGAGACCGCCGACTGTGCTGCCCACTGTGTTTGATACGCCGCCCACTGTCTTGCCCACGGTGTCGCCTAGGTTGCCGAAGAGTCCGGCTATCAGTATATTGTTAGTTGGGGTTTGGGATTTGGTGTAAAAGGAACTTACGGTTTTGTTCGCTGGACATGGTGGTTATGCTGTATAGAGTATGTAATTCAAGAAATTGGAACCTTGGAAGTGTCAAGTGTTTTGATTTTCGTGAGTGCACGGGTATTGATTAGATTATGGTAGAGTCGCAGGCATCATCTTTATTTATATCAACGCCACGCCCTGGAACCGGTTACATAGTTATGATATAACGGTATAATATCCATCACTTTCTGGCACCCACCGTGATCAGGCTAATATCTTGTATGTATCCATCTGACGTATGGCTGCGCCCCGTGTTCCACAATGGGACGTCATTATTGGTTGATATTCTCCAGTCGCCTCTAGTGGCTGAAATACTGTTTCTAGAAAGTCTGTTATATTAAACGACCGTGGCGAACGGTGGGTGGTTGGTGAGAGCTGTTTGTTCTGATTATTACTAATTGGAAGTCCAGGGGTATGATATCATTTTCCTGTCCGATACTTCGATTGGGTGGACCTGGGATGTTTTATGTTAACCGTAGGATGATCTCAGGGTCATCAACAACCCGCTATGTACACCAGACCATAACATGGTATAACGAGGAACGACGAATTGCACGGCATATTTAAAGACTGGCCTTCCCGCGAGACTCGTATGGCATGAATAGGACAAGAATGCCTGCCGCGATGAACAGCGCCCCGCTAACATAAACAGGAGCAGCGGTCGTGAGATCAGCAAACATGGCAATGATAGGAGCCATGATACCAAAAATTCGATTCGCAGACGCGGTTAATGCGTTGCCTGTACCGCGGTCCTTGGTGAGGAAGATTTCGGGAGTGTAAGCGTATAACACGGCGTACATCAGACTGCTCATAAAATTAAAGCCGCAGTTCCAGCCCAGCAGAGCATTTGATGTGGTAGCTGTTGTTGACGCGAGAAGGAAGGCTCCAGTTATAGCCGTCGAACTACTGAGCGCACCCTTCCGCCCGAAACCCGGTAGTTCTACCAGCACTCCACCGAGCAGACAGCCTGGGATGCCCATGACGGCAATAATCAGCGAGTTCCGATACGTGACGTAGGTGGATCCATCGCCGAATTCAGCGCCTCGGGACTGCTGGATGTATGGGAGGAACGCATTGTATAGTGGGAAGCCAAGACCAATGAATGCCCAGACGAGGATGATCAGAGTTGTAGCCCATGCTCGCTTGGGAGTATCGAAAAGAGCGCGGACATGATCAAATCGCACAGCTTCTAGACGTTGGCGGATGATGTTCGCCGAGCTGAAATGCTGCATCTCGCCCTGGTCGAAGGCGTCGAGCTCGGTTGTCATCAAACCAGATGTTTTTCCATTCCTTCTGGCAACTTCGTGGACAACATCCACAGCCTGCTCGTTCCTTCCCTTCCCCATGAGGTACTTAGGGGACTCGAAAATCGTGAAAAACACAAACCGACCGACGAACATGATTATCGCGATGCCGCCCATCACAATCATGAACCATCGCCATCCCATGTTATCAGCTTTCGTACATCCTTCTGCAGAACCGCAAGTCCTATATCCAAGCAGCGGCCAACCGATCAAGTTGGCCACTACCTGCGCCAAAGCCCAGTCAATCGACAAGATAGTCAACAGGTACTGATGCGATCCAGGTAAGAACTCGAGGAAGATAGCCGAGTCAACCGGTAGATTCCCGCCGACGCCGACAGACCACAAAGCCGCAAAGGTGCAAATGGCCGCAAAATTAGGCGATCCCGCCGCGACCATGCCAAATACGGCCGTGATTCCAATCGTTAAGTTGAACGCCCATCTGCGACCGAAGATATCGCATCCAAACCCCCAAAACACAGCGCCGACCAGTAACCCGATGTTTTGTGTGAGCGTCAACAACGGCGCTTTCGAGGGATGGAACTCGTTTGAGACTGCGGGGAGAATCAAGGAGGTAACAATCGGCCACAAGTTGTCGCTTGCCCAGCCGAATCCGATCACCACGAAGAGCTGCCATTGGTATCGGCCCATGCCGATCGTCTGAATTGCATTGTTGAGAACCCCGGCTTTGGCTTTGTAGTTCGCGTCGGGGCCCTCATCTTGAGGGACAGCCGGGCCCTCCATCGCCACTGGCTGGCGGCCAGGCGGCTTTGTCAGTTCTGACATGTCGTGTTGAGAACGTGAAAGAGTATATACGAGGGAGGAAGGGGGCACCTCGGCTTATAGCGTGGCTGTCCGCATTCTCGCTCTAACCCCGATCAGCCAGGAAAGTCTAATCAAATCCCATGTAGTAGCCTTGAGATCGACTTTATTCAGGAATTTCTTTTTTTTTCCCGCTGACTTCGATTGGATCTTTGATGGTGTGATCGATGGGTGGTTTTGTGTCAGAGTCGGCAAAATGCGCATTACCCCAATTCAGAAAGGGGAACTCCTGCAGGCATCCCTGGCACAGGGATCTTTTTCGTGTCACGTGTGAGGCTTTGAAGCATCATACTTTTAATAAACTGAAGCTTTGAAGTATCGTATGAACAATCATTACCATAAAGAAACTTGTGCAATTTTCAGCCCATAGTACTCATCTCTAGAGGGAAGGCCCCATTTGCGACTCAAAATTCGATATCTGCTCACAAACACCCAAGACAGGCATTATATATTCGAAATGAAGTCCCCTGTGGCTGGCATCCGACATTATCCGTCCTCCGTCTTCAGACATCTCCAGAATCTCCCAATTTTGTCGACCTTACAATGGCGGCCGATTCTAGGCCAAAGTCACTTTATGATATCTGGCGCAATCACCATGGTTTCCTCGTAAACCCCCTCCAGTGGACCGCGCACCATCTTAATCTAGTGGGGTGTCGATTCGAAGGTGCCGCAACAACTGTCAACAAAGAAGCGACTGAATGCGGCCAGGGCAACAATGACGATTAACAATCTTGCTTGAGGCCAACAAGCGATACTGAAAAGGTCGCTGCAAATCCGTTTCCTGCCATTAAGCGCCATCATCTCGCCAACCTTTTGATAGGGGAGGACCGCCCACTTGCGTACTATAGGTAGGGCCGCGATGTGACAAAACAGTCGATATAATCAAAAGAGTGCTAACAACTTTGCTCCGCTAGCAACGGGATACCTTTTTATTTCCATGGGCGACCTGTTCACCGACCAGCCTATATCGTTTTTCATCGTCAGGGAGAATCGACCGCTCAAACTCATGATACCTCGCCGTCGTTGGTGGGCTATGTGCATTACACAAGTGTCTGTAGAGCCCGTAGGAGACAGTTTGAACCTTGTCCAGGCCCACTAGGAACTATCGACTCCGTTGGCGCCAGACTTTGTCAGAAACGACTGGCTTATACCACCCCGAATGAACGGTCTGAAGATCCATATTTCGTGTGTCACTTATTCGCCCTCGCCCAGCTTCAAGAAATAATCCTCAATTCCCCACAGCCGAGTGCTTATACGGCAACTCTGCTCACTTTTTGGTCCGTTACACTTTAGCTGATTCACATCCAGTCTCGCCTTCTTGTGACCGACGTATTGGATCCGGAATACATGTTTTTTTTATGAAGCTAAAATCACTCCCAGGCTTCTGAGGGCTCTCTGAAATCCGAAGGACGCAAGGACTCCCGTGAAATGGCCTACAATACGCTGGAAAAGGCTGCCATTCAAGCCATACGATAGCTTCGCTAGTCGACTCGCAGCGGAGTTAGTGGCGCCCGGCCTCGTCTCAGCTAACAATCTTTCGGAACCATCGGGTGCCAGTACGGGTCCATTGATCAAGGAAGGAAACGGCCATACGAAAGGAAACCAGCCGGCCGCATAAGATGAGGCGAGTTTCGAGGGGATGGCGGAAGTGGCAGGACAACGGAGTGGCAGACAGATAAAGTGAGGCATAGAAGGATATGACATGCTTAGCCATGATTCTCGTTGAGATAGACGTCTTATTGCGCAGGCTGGAGTCCACTAATTAATGACCGCATCGTTTCCCTCGGCTTTGCCATGTGATTGGAAACAAGGACAGAAGACCCACTGGCGTAAAGCTATTCACAAATATGGCCCTGAATATCAGCCGCGTTTTCTCTCATCAGTATTGTATCCAGAGTAAACCAAATCCATCTCCTTCCAAGCGCAAGAAGGCATTGGGAAAGACCCCCTCTTCATTTCACCTAGGCTTGACGCCACCCGTAGCCCAACGAACGAGTTGGACACGCCTCCAGGTACCGTGAGTAGTCTAAATCATCTCTTAGATATGTTTGAAGAGGTGCTACACCGTGATATCAACCAAGACCCTCCAAATACGCCAGTCATATAGGGCCATTCCCGGCCATGCCCTGACTTGCTGAAACTGAACCAGTTGCTAGAGAGTCAGGCTTGCTTTGCCAGCAACGAAGAGGAAGGAAGCGTGCAACTGACAGATGAAATTGATCCTCGATATGCAATCTATATTACACAGGATGATCTCAAGTAGCTTGCGAAGTGGACATCGGCATCCCAATTCAAAGCAGTTATGCGTGAGAGAGGGTCACTGCAATTGTAGGCTTTTTGGCCGAATGGGATTCTCAACAATGTGAACGTATAGGCCACCCACAAGACCATTTTCTCTTCTTCTATTTTCCAGCGGTGATTGCTAACATTTATACAGCTGGAACAATTTACATTCCAGATATAGACCCTTTACCCATCAATGAATGACAACATTTTCATTCGAGGTTCGAACTTAGTATTGAGCTGAATTCCAAAGCACGGCCAGCAAATTGTTTGGTGTCGAATCCATCCAAGTTGCTTCCACTATTCCGGCGGGAGATTGGTCAAAGTACCATTCCAGTCCCATTGTCAGCGCACTCCTCTGTTCCCATTCTAGCACTTGGCTCCGCCCTGGATGCCACCGTGGCACGAGCTCCTGCCACAGTCTTGAATCTCTGTCCACTTTCCACCTTTGCACTCGACCTATTCGCAGAAATGTTAGCAAGCATGATCCCATTTTTTCAACCGAGGTATGTTAACGTACAATACCGGTCCTGTCGCAACCGCAGAAGTGTCTGTCTCCGTTGGATGCTTTGCAAGGGCTGTTTGTACG